CGAACTACAACTTGATCGGCCTACATTAGGAGGACCCCCCACCCTGTAATAGTGGTATAATAGGAATATAAGAGGACCCTAATATAATCCCTATTATCGCCTGTAGTCACTATTACTGAGTGGGGGGTCCGCCTAAGGCCTACATCTGAGGCTGTAATCATTGGAGGAGGTCGGCTGGGTGCTTGGAGCTCAGCAACTCAAGAACAGGCAGAAGCAGGTGCTTTTAAACAATCAACCCCCCCAATGTGAGCTGTAGTCTAAAGTCCTTAAACAGGGGTTATATAGGGGAATGTTATAGGGCTCATTAAGGGGGATACTAGGAGTTTAGACTATAGCTTATATAGTACCATTCCATATCAGATAATTAGACTATAGCTTATATAGTACCATTCCATATCAGATAAGATGTTTATTGAGGGGGCGTATGAGGGGAGGCCCTGACTTGGTGCAAGAATCACGAGATTCATGCAGGAAGCCTTCGCCAAGATGGGCCTAGGCCTGTTCCATTTTTTGGCTGAAGTGCGTTTGGCTAGGGAGTGTATGGAAATCTTGGGTTTTCAAGTTCACCAGTTAAGGAAGCACTTGCCCACAAAGAAGAGGAATGATTTGAGTCAACATTCCCTCAATCTCATCGGCTTGGCTAATGCTTGATTTGCAACTCTGGAAGTCCTTGGCAACTCGGGCAGGCAGCGACATCATTGTTCGGCGGGGCGACGCATTCCCCGCGGATGCCCCAAAGGCCATTCGGTTCCGTTTAAGGAGGGTAGGTCAGTTGCGGCAGTCTAAGGGGTATTCCAAAAACAATTTTTTGGAAAGTCCGGAATGGCGGACGGAAGATATGAGTTTGGTGGTTAAAGGTGGGCTCCATTGCTTCAAGCTGATTACAGAGCAGCGGGTCCATGCCTGGCTTCATTTGCGCTTCTCAGACTGCCTTGAGAAATGTCACATCTGCTCCCAGGGCCCTATCTACGTGTGTACGCGCAATGACGCCCTGAAGGCCAGTTGCGAGTCCACAGGTAAGCTTGAAGCTTTTGGTGTTTAGCATGGCTAGACAGGAAACTGGAGAGATGGTTTTGCTGCTGCTGCACATGCATGCAGCGGAGGACATCATCGCTTCTGTGCCCGAAGACCGCCACGAGGACTTGATATTCGTCCAGAATGGGGCTCTGCTGCCAGAGCCTCATGTCCACGTGTCCCGACTGTAGTTCACGCCAGAGGGAAAGAGTCTGCAAGATGGAGATGGGAACCAGAACTCCTGGCAGCCCTAACAACATCAATCATCAAAATGCTTGATGGCATTTGCAACTGTTCCCGCTACTGTTTCTACAAGATTCAGCCCGCACCAGCACTTTTCTCCAAGACCTCAGGTGGACTGAAGACCCTCAAAACCTCACATACTTAGAGGGATGAGGGCTCCCACAAAACACTTTGGCTCCAGGCCGTTCTTGGATCAGAATCTGAAGCCGGGACTTCCTGCCAGAGCCCTTTTGTCAGAAGAGACCAATGCAAGAATTCCGGAGGGCTTAGAGGAAGATCCTTACAGCTCTTGTGCCGAGATCACGATCCTGCTCGTGTACTTCGCTGTGGCAAAGAAGGGTGAGCCTCCTTTGGATGGAAAGTTTGTGGCTCAGACCTCTTTGCTTCTTTGCTGTTGTGCAACCTCGTCTAGCCAGCTCGACAATGCGTTTCGTTACGTCCTTGCAGTCGTGCTGCATAATTGCTGCATGAGGTGGGTGAACTTCACTTCCCCAGATCCCAAGGGTAAGAACTGAAGCTGAGGACGGATACAGACCCGGAAGGCCTCACAGCCGTGAACAGCGGGCCTGATGCTCAGAGAAGTCGCACAGCCTTGGGCTGCTGGTGAGGAGGTGGAATTGAGTCACCATAATGGGGAAACCATATGACTTACTCTGTGTCCATATTATGGTTTTTCTTTCTGCTCCTCAACAGAAACCCGGAAGCTTTGGGCGCCTAAAGAGTTTGAGATGAGCGTGGCTGCAGAATGGCAGGAAGTGGGCAAAGGAAGTTAGATGGAGATTGACCACTAGCGACCTCGCTTGAAGCCAAGAAATCAGTGACTTCGCACGCTGCAAGCTCCAGGGGCATGAAGCTGCCCCCAAAAATCCCGGAACGTTCAACATTGAGGCCTGCAGAATTTTGCGCGATCCGGAGTTCATGCAGGCTGAAAGAGATGCTTCAAGAGACTTATCAATCATGGGCACAAAGTGGTTTGGTCGCGCTGGTTCGGGTTGGTTTCTTTCCAGGCCTACTGGGAGAAGAACCTGTGGATTGCGGCTTACATGCTTATCGGTGCGCTCCACGAGGGCTGCACTGTGGGCGATGTGGAAGGCAAGCACCGCAAGGAGGCGCCGCTCTTTAAATCTCACCTGCACCACAAGGATGCACATAAGGGAGGTATGCCGTGTTTACTATGCACCTTGGTAGGACGCAGCAGAAGCGTACTTTGCCTGATCGTCAGGTAGACGAGCTTATAGCTCAGCTGGCAACCGCTGGGCACTGAGACCGAATTGATGGGGCTTCAAGGGAGGCTGCCTAAATTGATGTCACACAATTGCTGAGGGCGTGGCTGCCACAAACCCGGAGGTTCGATGGGTGAATGGCCCAGCTGCGTGTGAACGTGCAGGTTGCGAAGTGCAAGCACGAAGGCGTAAAAGTAAGCCTGTCCCCGTCTTTGCACTAGAGGCTAGCAGACAAGCAAGCAGGAAAAAGAAAAAGAGCCGGTGCAAATCTAAGGACAAGCTGTTACTTTGTGACCGCCTGGCCGCATACGCACGAAGTGCCATGCTCCCAGAGCACAAAGCATGCCAAGCGCAAGGATGACAACTCAAGCTCGAAGAGGCATTGTATACGTTGTATGATAGTAAGGGATGAACAGCCAGCTCCAGTAAATGGCCTGACACCATCAAGCCATACGTCTTTCCGAGAGGTGACGTTGAGCCGTGAGTCGCTATGAACGAATTGCGCATCACGCATCAGGGTTTGTCCATGAGGTCGCGCACTTCCCAACCGCCGTGAAGGAGTTCGAGTGGCGAAATGGTCCGTTCTACGACCTGGCCTCAGCACGACATAGTCATAGTCAGCGGCCACCGGCTCACCGCTCGTTTGATACAAGCCTGTTTGTCAATGGCCTTTGCCTGGTCACAGCCGCATTGGTTGTGTGGCATATGATTGGCATGTGCTCAGGATATCTCCTTACAGGCCAAGGCACAGCGACCCTTCCTTGAATATCGCATAGCATTTGGGCAAACTGTTTCGGCATTTGTGGCTTCGGCTTGCACTTACTTTGAGTACTTTTGCGTGGGATGCAGCAAGTTCTGTGGGCTAAATGCCCGGTCTGAGAGCACTAATTTCGCATGCTTACCTCAGAGAGCGACGCGGCAGGCAGCTGGGCGACCAGATCCTTGCCCTCAGCACACCGCGGGCCTGGAAAAGCTGGGCGTGTCCTCCCTATCACTTGGGAGTCAAAGCAACCAGCTTCAATTGCAAAGAAATGCACCTTCAAATACAAATTCTTTGCTCAGGTCGTTGGCAAAGACGCATGAGAGGCTGATCAACATGGCCAGCCCTGCAACCAGTTATGGCTTTGTTGCCAAAGCACACACTCAAACTAATACGTGAGAGTCAACCAGAAACGACGCCTGTGAGTCCTATGAGGGGTTGTCTTCACATTTCTTCGATGTTTCAGAGATGGAGCCTTGACACTGCACAGCGTATCTCAGCGTTCTGGCATGGCGGAGCTGCTGGTGTCGGTCTGGCAGCCTGACATCTAGCTGCTTTAGCTGGTATCAACTCGGGATGCCTGGATTTTCCTTATCGCCTACTGAAGCTTTGCAAAAGACTACTCAGCACGATTGTGGTCACATGTCTGTCTTGTATGTGCAGGACTTCAAGTACGGGCTTTGAAGCATCATTTTCTGCAAGCACCTGTACAGTCAAACACGCAGATGCCGATTCAAAGCAAGCAGAAGGGCAGCAGCAAGGAAATCATTTCAGCTGGAAGTGGCAGCTATTTTGTGAGTGTTTGCAATTTTGCGGCAGGGCCGCAGTGCAGTCACCACCCCACAGCCCAAGCAAAGCCATCGAAGCATACTAACCAGTAGATAATGCATAGCATGGCACAAAGACTGCCTGCTTCCTTGGACAGCTTGTTCGAACAACGGACAGGCACGGAGCCTGGTTTGCTTAGCTTGGGTGTTCTTTCCCTTGGCAGTCTGGGTTGGCACCTTTTCAAGCGCATGCGAGCTATAGTCTAAAGTCTAGTATCCCCCGTAATACTCCCGCTGACACTCCCCTATATGATCTCCTACATAACCATAACCCCGCTTGGCGGAGTTTAGACTACAGCTCATGTGCTGCTCGACATTCACCTAACCATGCAACAGGGAGTGGAGTTGCTGCCCAGTAAGGCCATGCCGGCGCTTCCTTTTTTGCAGGAAGATGGAGTCAGTTGAATCCTCAGAAGCTGGCTGCTGCGGGACCCCAATAAGGAACACGACTATATAGGGGAGACCATATGAATGACTATATATACCCATTAAGTAAGAACAAGTAAGACTTAAGAGCGTCGCACCTTTTCAAGGCACGGAGCCCTTTGGCGGGTCGCTTGGACTTCAAAGCAGCTTTGGCGAAGAAGGTGCTAAAGGACAGCTGCACCATGCTACACACCAGTGATGGTAGTCAATCCTGTGTCACTCACTGTGAACGTGGCTGCAGAACTAGCACGTACAGTCCCTTTTTCGTCAAGTCCGAGCAGTATGCCCAACAGACGGACGCCAGGTGCTGAAGATGCAGAGCACGAGTCGCAGCCATTGGCGGGGGAGTCGCTGTTCACTGCACTGTCCGCGAGTTCTGAGAGGAAGCGCCGGGATGCCACTGGGCAAAAAACTGTTGATTCTGTCGCACTGCGCATTGCCCAAAACATCGCCCGAATATAAGGCAAACTCTGAGAACCCATGAAGTGCTTCAGGGCCTCAGCTCGCAGTTCAACAACGAGCTTGTTACGGCATTCTACACTTGTTTGAAGAAGATTGTTCACATCGCTCATGTTGTTTTGGTTTGTCTGGGAACCACGCCTAAAGCGTCAGGATGAAGTGAAATGCAGCGCTTCAAGATCTAAACCATAGTTAGGCAGAAGGTTGCTGAAAAGCCTCAGTGTTGGTGGGTTCATGTTCTTGGCTGTTTGGTAGAACACCAGGCCATAATTATAACAATTAACGCCAGAAAAAATTCACTATACATTCCTTAGTATCCATTTCATGCTCCATTTCTTTTGAATTTGATTCTCCATTCTGACCCCTATATATTCCCTATATACCTCTTCTGTCGCCCTTGACATTTGACCTCAGGTGGAGGAGGAAGCACGCCGTCAGGATGCCCAGAGAATGAACCAGTACCCGTGTTATTATCATTACTATTTTTATTAATACTATTATTATTGCTATTATCATTATTACTTTGTTATTGTTTTATTACTATTGTTAGTACTACTATTACTACCATTACGATTCTTACTATTATTACCGTTATTACTATTACGCCTACTGTCATTAGTTCTCTTATCATTCTTAGTTTGCTACCTGCGTGTCTGATCCATAATCCATCTGATAGCATGGACCCCATCCTCCATGGCCATAGACACAGGCCTGAAGGAGCTGGAGGAGTACTGTGAGAAGCGGCAGAAGGCCACCGAAGCAAAGATCCATCACAAGTCAAAGGGGTGGTTGTCAAAATTATGGTCCCTTTTTGGGTACCCTAAATATTAGGTGCCGTATTATAATAGGGATCCAAAAAGGGCCCATCATTTTGACAACTACCCATATAAGCTTTTGCTCAGACTCGGCCATGCTGAGTCCTGCGCCGGAGGTTCGCCTCGCGCTGGCTGATGCGGTGGACGGGTCCGCCTGGCAGAATGACTGTTTAAACATGGCTGCTAGAACTTGTGGTGCAGTCGTGATGTTGAACATCACTGTGAGTGTGATGCCGTTTCTCTTGCTCTAACTCTTCTCGTGGTGGGTGCTACCTTTCTGCTAGGTTGACCTTGGTATTGGCTTGAGGTGTTCATTCCGTTTGACAATATCTCCCCTTCCTGGCCAGAGACGGAGAGCCGTTCGGGGAAAGCTTTGTCTTGGAAGTCTACGCAATAGCTTGCAAGGAGAACAAGCCGTACACCCAGTATTTTTTTGGAAAGTTGCCGTGTTGAAATCTCTCCGGCACCAAGCTCAGAGGTCAAACATGATTCGAGGCCCAATCAGGGGAAACAGAGGCAGTGGCCAGTAATGTAAAATTAGTCAATCCATTTCATGTCAAATTCGAACAGCGCACAACCAAGCTGAGCTGACTAGACTGTTCCAGAGCTCAAATCTTCAGGGTGCAACATTTCTCCGGCCAGATCACCTTAACCACGAAGAGATTCCACGCGCCAGGAATCCAGACTGGCTACTTGATGCTTCCTCACTCGTTGATGAACTCTACCAGGCAACCTGTGCGGAGGGCTGCGGACTTTGAAGGCATCCCTTCAATCGGCGGGGGAGAACATGAGGAGAGCATGCCGCCTGTGTAGCAGACCACTGAAGTCCAGTCCACACGGGACAAGAAGCACACACGCTAGCAAGCCATGAGAGGTCATCAGGCTCTGCAAACCATGTCACGATGTGTCACCGTAACCCTTCTAGACCCCAGGCCTTCACATTTGGCATGTCACGAAATGGAAACAGCTGACCCCTACGAGGCTTGGAAACGATGTCAATGATCAACGAGTCGTGTTGGATCCGAGTCGAGAGCATAGAACAATCCCTAGCATTATATCCAAGCTGCGTCCAGTCCTAAATCCATTACTGTTCATTGTTGTTGTTAGTATACTTATTATTGCATTTGTGGGATTACCATCACTACGAATATTTTTACTATTATTATCACTACCAGTATTACCGCCCACAAGCAAGATGGGCTCAAAATTGGAGAGGCCTTGGGCCAGAGATCTCTCGGACTCCAGCGCCTGCGCACCGTGATTGAAGAGGCTCACTTGTTTTGGGATTACGGAGTTTAGGGTTTAGGAATTAGGGATAATAGGAATCAGGGATTGGGGATTAGGTTTTAGGAATTAGGGATAAAAGGGATTGGGGAGTAGGGTTTGGGAATTAGGGATCAAGGGGGTTCAGGGATTGGGGATTAGGCTTCAAGATTTAGGGATTGCAGTTTAGGGGTTATTGATCGCAAGCCTGCTTGCCAAAGGGTTTAGGGATGAGGGTTTAGGGTTCAAAGATCTTTTTGACCATGTGAGGAGAGAAGGTGGGTTTCCAGGGATCAGATGAAGTTTGCGTCCAGAAAACGGGGGGGGGGGGGTCTTTGACATCGACCTATACAGAGGTTATGTCGTAGGGGTATATGTAACACCAGTTATGGAGAATCAAATGGAAACTTTAGACTGAACATTGAGCCTGTGTGCTCTGCTCCTTGCGGGCGAAATGCTGCTGTGAGCACATGTGCTAACTGCTTGCACTGTGCTCTTTGGAGAAAATTGCCGTCGATAATGGATCATGAAATGGAAACTGGTGTTTAACCCCAGTATATGCTCTATTTTGTAGTAGTAATTTCCATTTTCCTTTCCAGAAACCCTGGGTAATCCTACAACCCCTAAATAACCCTAAAGACTCCCCTTTGGGGCTAACCCGGGCCCACATTGCAGACTGCCCCAGGTGATACCATATTTATATTCCATACTGGGGAACAGCGTACAGTCATGGCCACATATGTACATATGTCTTGAAAATATATATATATATATGAATGAATAACCCGAGTTTCAATAAATTTTCCATGTTCTTGTCCATTTGATTTTCCATGTTGTGGCATATATCCCCACAGTATATAAACCCCGCACAATCCTTATATAACCGCTATATTGAATTCAGCAACGAACACGGCATCAAGAGTTCAGGCAGCCAAGAAGCTGAACGACGATGAATGGGAGCAGTTCAGAAGGTTGGCTGAAGTCCACATGTTGGCCACGTAAGCACCACAAGGGATGAGGCTGAAGGGCAGCAATGGGGCGGCGTTTTAGCATGGCTCTGCCTATGGCTAAAGTTTTCCTTGGGAGGCTTGCTCGGTAAAATTATAAAACAAGTAGGCTTTCATTACCCAATTACTGTTAGTGCAGGATGCCTTTCGAGGCGGTGCATCGAGAGGCATTGAAGCTTTTCGAGAGTCTGTCCAACGAAAGTTGAGCACCGTGCTTGCGCCAACGTTCTCTTGGTCCGCATTCGTTTTCCACTCCACGGTTGACAGCTAGCGCGCAGAGTTGAGATCTCGCAAAAGTTCCTTTCAGTACATGTTGTCAAACGCAGCAGTCAGCAGTTTCGATGAGTCAGGGGCAGGCCGGGATAGCCATTCGAAAAGATGCTAGTTTCCTCTTGCCGGAAGCCATGGATGTTGGTGTTCCTGATGCTAGCAGAGTTCTTCTTCTGCGTGATGCGAGAAGAGTCGAGCTTTGTGGTTGGTGCCTCGAGCCATGCAACCAGGAAGCGCACGACCTGTCGTGCTGAGACAGGCGACATGAACTTCGAGCTTGAGCCAGTGCTGAAAGCAGCGCACAAGGAATGGGGACGGTACTTTGAAAAGCATGCCGCGCAACGTCTAGGTTCAAAGTATCGTCCTGTGCTGGGAATGCAAAGGTGGGATTTTGACATCGACATGGGCAAAAAGGGGCAGGTGGACTTTTTGGGGGTAGGCAACGGAATCGAAGCCTGGCAAGCATTCGCTAAGGACTACAAGGCATACATGCACAATGCCACCTACACCAAATTGCAGAAGCCCCATTTCCTCATCTCAGAGATTGGGCTGACCACACAGACTCTGAAAAAGAAGTTTGAAGACAACGAAACCTCGCTACTGTTGTTGCAAACTTTTGTCAGCAGAGTCGAATCAAGCAACCTGAGCGCGGTGAAATGCTTGGTCTACGATGGAGCAGATGCCGAAGATTTCACCAAGTGCGATGAGGCGAGAAAATTCATGGATGAAGGAGGCGTCTTGATCAACATTCCATACTTGTCAGCAGAGACAGTTCTCGACAAGCTCAATGAGACCACCAAGCTCCGTGAGGAGACCACCAAGCTCCGTGAGGATATCAGACGGTTGTTGAATCTGTCAGGCGTGATGGCTTGCACAGCATTTTAGTCGAACAGTTGAACATTGTTACTAGCTTTTGCTTTCAGCTAGACGGACAAGGGTTTCGCATGGTGACTTTGTTCCAACGCAGGCACGAGCTCCACGTCATCCATCGTCTGGGTGCGGGAGCTGATGTACAAGGACTGTGCTGTGTGCGGTAGAAGAATCCAGGGTTGGGGCACGGTTGTTTGGACGCTCGCCCGGCGCACCATCGTCGGCAGGGCGGAGCATGCGGCGGATGTCTGTGTTGGGGCACGTGTCCGGTCGCGGGCAGGGGAGGGGCTCCGGGGGCTGGGAGTTTCGCTGCAAGTTTGCTGTCGGTTCATGTCTGCGGCACCGCTCGACTTGCAGGATCGGACGGTCACGGAAAAGCTGAGGCCCAAGGAGGATTCCCATTTGCCGGTCGTTTTGGAGCAGCGCCTCTGTGCAGATAACGTCTCGTCAAGAGGACCCTGAGGGCGAGGATGAGCTCGAGCCGGCGTTTCAGGTGGAGTCCCCTCAGGTCAGCGTACGCCGCACGATGTGAAGTGGAGTTTGGTCGCATTTCGGCAGGACTACCCCCGCCTCAATAATGTGGACCACTTGAAGAAAGATCCGGCCTCGGCATGCTTCCTTTGCTCATGTCCCGACATTTGCCCAAGTCACGAGGCCATCAAGCAACAGAATTCCGTCAGTCTCGAGAATATCGATGCAAGGAATATCGACATCTACTCACAAGAGGCACGGAGCCCCAGACAGCCTTTTTTGTTGGCTCCTTCCCATGCTGCTTATGATGCTGGCAGGCTGGAGCGTGGCAGCGCGTCCAAAACGCATCAAAAGTCCTGCGCCAGAACACCAGCGAGCCCAACCCTTGGCTACTCGGGTGTTCGGCTGTTTGCTTCCACGTGGTGCATGCCTGCTAGGCAAGATTGCTACGGCTTTCTGCCGCGACAGGCAACTTGAAAGGCCCGGCGATGTGATTTGTTGAGGAAATCGGAGCATCAGTGCTGCGCAGGCGCCATCTAACTCTGCCCATCCTTTTGCACGGTCTCTCAGTTTCACATGTCATGCAAATCTTCGGTGTGGTCTTTTTTGCCGCAAGTGGTGTGCTTAGATCAGCAGCAGTAGCGAGCCAAGTCACTGCTGTAGTGAACTAGATGACTGCTTTCGTAAAAAGTTCGCTGCTTCAGGCCACACCACGTTTAGATCAGTTGCCTGCTACCGAAATGGCAGCGTGTGCAGTGTCAACGATGAGGGAGGTGCTTGCGCCACATAGCGGCCCTTGGCGCTGATCAGTGTCTCACTGTGCACCACAGCGGACGGAGGCGAACGCACGTTTTCTACGTTAAGCTTCCGAGTGTCCAGCTGACGATGTAAACAGTCTGGATCCTTTTTTGCTTTCGAGCCGTTCCGCTGGCATGCAGGGGTATAGAAGTCGCCACCGAAAGAGTAGCGGGTGCAGCGTCAGCGATCAAGGGCCGGATTGCTACCACACACTTCGACAAGATTGGCACTGCAGTTTGACACGGGGTGTCACGCATTGCCGCGCTCAGGACGCAAAGGTTTTCTCACGTTTGGTGGCAGATGCAGAGTGCCAGACTTGGCACTCCCCACCTGCTGAGCAATATGCATCTCCCATGGTTCAACAGTCTTGGAGAGCATTCTCCCTGAGGCCTCACTGGAAGCGGCTGATGGAAGATCTTGGGCCAGACCCTCTTGTCAATTTGCAGTTCGGAGGTCAAAGCATTGCGCGGCTTGACTAGGCTAGGCAAGCTGTAATCGACGCTGTCGAAAGTAAGGCGTGGCTTCAGCAACATTCAGCGGGAGGCGCGTTGTGTGCGTGAACACTTACCGTTGGCAATAGCCCGCCTTTGCCCAATGGCTAGGGTGTTTGCTGCCGGAATGAAGAGATGGTAAGAGATGTAACAAAATGTTAGTCATTGCTCAAGCCCAGACCATCACTCGTGACTTTCTATACATTGGCCATGGCCTCAGCTGGAATTGCGTGAGGGGCTGAAGGAATGCCTCAGCAAACGTCATCTCTCCAGCGATACATAATGCCACGTGAATGCGCGCATGCGTGCAGATGTTCACTTTGGTTCTCAGCTTTGAGCGGTTCAAAGAGCACACATGATGTCAGCCACCTCCTAGAACAAATGCCTGATTGACATGTTTAAGTATTCACCCAGCAAACATCCTACCACGCCGGCGTTGAGGAACAGCCAGGCGAAGAGCGACACAAGGATCCCATCATGTTGACCAAGGCAAGTCATCATCTTCTCAGCGTAGCTTTTGCTGTTGCTTCCTTCGTTGCCCAAAGTCTCCGGAGGCTGAGATGACTGAGATGGGATTTGCTTCATGTCTGTAACGCTTGCAAGGCAAACCACGTGCTAACAAGTTTGCTTCGCACCACAGGTGAACTCGCAGAGCTCGCAGTGCCCTGCGACATGGCAGAGCCGCCTGCAGATGCAGATCCCGTGGAGAACATCTTCTACGTCTCCCAGAAAGCTTTGTTAGTGCCACCCTCAGCTCAACAGAAGCAACAGGGCTCGCGGCGGGCTTGCGTAGCTATACCCTTTGGGCGTTCTACTCCAACAATGCTGCATAGCGGAGGTCGTCAAGATGAAGCTAAAGAACGAGGAGGAGATACCAGGAGAGGTTCTGCGGTCCTTCTCTTTTGCGGGAGACCATGAGGAAGCTCGCTGGCAGTTGCTTGCAAACTAGACGTTCAGGTCCAGGGTTCCAGTCACGCACACAACCAAAAAAAGCAGTGTAAAGGGAGGTCCTTTTCTCGTGATTTAGTTGGGAGGGTTTTGTTCAAGTGCTTTGAAGACGACAGCACAAGGATGACGAGATGCTTGTTCCGGTGGATCTGAGATGCTCGGCTTCATAGCATGGTCAACCCCGGGCTCAGCTACACATGCATCGCAACAGGCAACCTTTGCCTAAACTCAGCAAATTTTGAGCTCAGGCGTATTCGACAAGCACTTCACAGCAGAAGAGGAGGACCGAGGTCTTTTTTCATGGATGTATCTACCGTTTCCAAGGTTGACTGATGTTGACTGGTAGATTTGTGTGCTGCAGGAGCTCTTTGATCAGTACGACAGGCTGGATGTCGACCGCCTGGTGGAGAAGTTAGGCTCAAAGAAAGCTGGGGAGGTGTCTCGCCCTGAAGTACCGAAGGCCATCATCAGCTGTCGCTATCCACACTCACGTTGTACCTCAAGCAGAAGACATGCCGGCATCTGCCAAACCAAGGTTTTCATTGAAGCTCAACAGACATTCCTCGCAAACGGCAACGGCGCTGATCCCGAGACAAGGGCACAGCCCATGTCAGTCGCCGAGCCCACTTGGCTGAACCAGTGTACAGAAGTTTGTTTCTGCTGTGGGTAGGAGATGCATCAGCGAACGATTCGTTGATCTGTAGTAGCCGTGGACAGTACGTAGTCCTGAGACTGAACCGCATGCGAGGTGGAGACGAATTTGGGCAGGCTGTGAGGAGGACCTCGAGGAAGAAATCCTGGAGGAAGATCAGGAAGTGCAAGCCTGAGCTGAGTTTTTGCGGGTGCTTGCAAAATAGGACCCCCGAGTCACCCATTTCGCAGATACCGTTCTATTCCATGCAGTATGAGTAGCAGAGATCATAAAATCATTGAATTCAACAACATTGGACATCAAGTCGATCTCTCGTATTCAGGACCGGACCATGCTTTTTTGCTGTTTTCAGATGAGGACGAGGGTTCTTATCTACTCTATTTTTGTACCGGTGGGTACCGCGGTGCTGGTAGCAGCAGGTAGCGCCAGGTGACTGTGCTGGGCATACATTTCATCAGAAAGAACAGTATGGCTGCAACAAGAACATGAGCGCCAGTATTCTGACTGCTCGTTACCTATAGCAGGGTATTTGTGTGCATACATAGTGATACCACTTCCGACTCCAGATTCAAGGACTGGTTTCCACATCCCTCAGGCTTCCTGATTTGGATGTTCAGCTTCGCATGTCCCGTTTTGCCATATCTCATATTGCGCCACTGCTATCAACTCCTGTCATTTCCTGTTTTGGCCAAGGCATTCCCTGTTCAAATAGAGCTGACATTAACTCCGACTGCACACCAGGTGAATGAGAATGCGGAAGAGGAGGAGGACGCTGGTGAGGATGGCGAGGAAGGCGAGGAGCCAGCAGCCAAAAAGGCTAAAACTTAGCTGAGCCCGAATCCAACTATCTCAAATGTCACAGCTTGACTCTATGCCATAGATATCCTCGTACATCCTGGTACGATCCGCCATGAAAACCTACCTGAAAGACAAAGCATGAAAGATTGATATACGCTGCTTGCTGTGAGGCTTGGCCTTAGGAAAGTCCTGCACGCGCTGCAAGTGAACCATTTCCGCAAACTCTGTTGGGGTTGTATAGGGGGTCATTATATAGGGATACTGGAGAAGAACCTGGAAACTACTCTAATGGGTTATATGGGGATAATAGGGGTCTATTGGGTATTCCAGAAACTCTGTCAGAAGATTGCTATCGGCCCACCAAGGAGGAAATGGTAGGGATTGTCAAGATTGCACATACAAGGATTTGTGGTTATGTCTCAGGTGATAAACATTCATCATGGTCCTATCCCTACGTATGCTTGTAGACCCCCTATGAACCCCTGCAAGGATCCCCGTAGGCTCCAAACTTTGAAAAAATGGTCACAGCAAGCCCGTGTTGGTTTCCGCCGGGGACTGGCTGGAAGACATCTGGCCCAAGACTCCCCGCTGTAAAAAACCTATCTCCTGATTCTTGGGTTTGCAAAAAATTCTGCAGAGTGGGAAAGCCAAGAAGTCAGGTAGGAGACTGGGTTGCAGGACACAGGGTAGAATTTCTAGCTGGGTTTTTGGTGAGAGTATGCAGGAAGCTCCGGAAAGTTTGTGTTTTCATGGCGTGTCCTTTTGGGGGACCATACACATGAAGATCACGCCTTGTATGGTGGTGCCTGTGAACACCATCATGGTAGCTGATTGCTAGCTCAGGGAGGAGCCATGACAAGTTTTGACGAGCACATGTGATGTGCGAGCACTCAAGCAGAACCCGGGTAGCACGCTTGAGTCCGCGAGATCATTTGGAGAAAAAGCTTTTCAATGTCGTTCACAACTGGCTGAAGTGCAGGCGGCTCTTGCCGCTGTAGCGAGCATCGCTTGGATACCAGTGTGCGAGCAAAGGCCTGACAGAACCGAGCGACGAGATGGTGGACTTTTTCCAAGGACGAGGCCCAGAACCTACGGGCATCTGAACTCAGTGCTGCTTGGTGCCAGTGGCCCTTGTTGGGAAATTGACAGGCTGGAACATGCACCGTGCTCCTCCGGAGCTACCAAAGCCATTGGACAAGAAAGGCACGAAGAGTGCTGGGAAAGACTAAATCTGATCCCAGAATGCAAAGTCAAAGTTTTTGCAGACAGCTTGTTATGTCAGCTGGCGATGAAGATGGCCCTGAGGGCTACCAGCAACAACCTTAGCCATCGCGGCATGTAAAACTCTAGACTGTGACCGGAGCTGAGGCTTGTGATTGTGGATCTTACCTTCCCCTGTGCAACACAAGGGGATGCAGAGCGCAGGTGGGTCGAGGCCGGGTAATTCTCCGCGAACACGGATGAGGCAGCAGATCTGACCTTGCCAGGAGAAGCAGGAGTCTGACGATGATGCAGTTGAAGTGTTACATGAAGGATCAGGGAGCAGAACTGCCCAAGAAAAGATGGACGCTTCTCCAGTTTAATATCAAGCTGTTCAGAGTCGGCAGGCTGGCCTCAGGAATAACGGGGACAGGGCCAGTTGGTGACATTGGTTTGAGTCCTGCGTGTTGCAAGCACAGGGCAGCAATCCGAGTTTCGTCAAACATGGCGATAGGGCTAGTTATGTCCGGCGTGCATTTGACTTGAGACCTTGCAACCTCCGCCAAGGATGCGTGTCATTTCAGCGAAGACTTCGTTTGCGACATGCTGCTTAGCACAGCAAACTAGGTCGGTTCAAAGCAGGCAAATTCTGTGTAAGTTTGTTAGGCGCTGGCAGGCCGTTTCAAACCAAGTCATATCTCGAAAGCCCCACTTGAATCATAGAGCATGAGGCAGAGCTTTATTTTGGGAGATATGCCGATGGATTTTGACGCTAGCCTGTGCTGCTGCTGGGATTTTCCAAACGTAAAGGAAGTTTGTAGATTGTAGAGGATGCATTCACTGCAACTGTCCCTGCTATGCAAGGATGCCTCGAAGATTACATTTGCAGTGAGCTTTAACAGGCAAACCTCCTGTTCAGGCTTCAAGAAGTCCCAGATGCATGGCAAGTGCAAGCCCACCTGTCCGGGCTTCCGCTGAAAGCCAGTGGCTACGGGAAGATCGGCATTTCGCGCAGCAATGGCGTGCGCAGGACCGGTCTTCGTTGGTGGCAGCTGCCACTTCTGCTTGCCTAAAATGCCTTACGAAGAAGATGAAAGTTTCGACTGTCCGAGCAACAATGGGATGCTCCTTGCAGGGTTCCAATGCGTCTCATGATGGGCACCTGCACGCTGCTCTCGCAGCATCCCCAGGTTCATAGGCGCATCCCACAGAACTGCTCAATCTCACAGGAGGCTCCGCACAATTCAAGGTGCGCTTGCTGAAGCTCTTCGAAATTTGCAGAAGGGTGGCGTCCTCGCTCCTTGGCCAGCTTATCCAGGTAACTGCTGAGACGTGCACACCTTTTCTGAACAGCACCTTCTTCTTGCACCTGCCAAAACATGTGCAACCCTGCGGGATTCAGCTTCAAGGCTGCCAGCTGCCCACATCGCACTGCCTTTCTTTGTTTCATTAGCCATGGCACGCTCTACGCTGTCTCTGGTCGCCCTGGCAGCATGCGCCCTGCTGGCAAGACATGGCTTGAGCTTCGTGGGCTTCCGTCCCTCCCAGGCCAGCTCATCGGTGGTCATGCGAGCAGAGGTTGCAGAGGCTGAGGTCGAGGAGAAGGTCATTGCCGAGGGTGATCGCCTTAGACTGAAGATCCAGTCTGCTGAAGGCGACGCCATCAAGGAGGCCTGCTCTGAAGTGATCCTGCCCAGTGCCAGCGGTCAGTTGGGCATCTTGGCAAATCACGCCCCCATGATGTCTGCCCTGGATGTTGGCGTGCTGCGCTACAAGCAGGATGGCAAGTGGATTCCGATCGTGGTCATGGGCGGCTTTGCCAGCGTCGATTCCAACTCCCTGTCAGTCCTGTGCAACGACTATGAGGAGGTTGGCAACATTGACATGAACGAGGCCAAGGCAGATATGGAAAGCGCCACGGAGCTGCTCGAAAAGGCCGAGGCCAAGACTGACAAGCTTGAAGCTACGCAGAAAGTGAAAAGGGCTGCCGCGAGATTGCAGGCGGCTATGTTCATGTCCAAGAAATGAGAACTGCCGGTAACGGCCCAATTCTTTTTGAGAGATTCTCCAGGTCGCTGCGCGGGCAGCTGGGAAACCAATCTTGTTCTTGTAGCTCCAGTTACAAAGGCTCGCAGTACAGAAGAAATCCTGAACTGCATGCCGGAGTTCTGACGTCCACTAACCCTGGGGCACCACGGTCATACTTTGATGATATGTTTTGCACAGTCATAAGATGTCATAGGGGTGTTGACATTGCGTATGAATGGAAAAGAACATGACAATGGCTATAGGCCCTGAGGTTGCTTCAAAAGGGATATACGATTTTTCGGGCCGGATTTGCCCAGGGGTTCTGTGCGACGGTCTCTCGGATTCGAGGTCAGGGCAGATGCCGGCACACGTGTCACAAAACAACTTATTGAGGGTTAGTAGGGAATAAGGGAACCTTGAATATTACAATCCCGATGTAATTCCCTTGTAATATATTCCCTTCTTCCCTACTACCGACCGTAAGACAATGAGTGGAGTCACTGCCAGGGACCCTGCATGAGCTGGCATACCAGAACCAGTGGAGATACCACGGTTAAGGGGTGTGGTAGCTGGCATCACCAGAGCAAGCTAGCATACTTCTCGTTTGAGTAGCAAATGACATGATCTGATGCTTTGGAGGTTACAAGCTGGTGTGGCCTTCCCACGCATCCGCTGCTGCCGTTCGTGACCAGACAGCTTCGCCCAGGCTTTCGCCGTGCCTGGACTTGTTTGAGTTTGAGGGCAACACAGAACATTGCAGAAAATGCCCTGACAATTGAGGTGTGCACGTTTTGGCACCTCCGGAGTGCCAAACCTTTGAAACTTACATTGTCGCTGCAGAGACTTGTCATTGATGGAATTTTAGAGCATGCTGCCGCATGAAAGACTGGCCGGCAGCTTTTCGAGATCAGTATACTGCCGAATGATCCTGTGATGCAGGTGCAGACTCTCGGTAGTTCACTGTCGCTGGCACTCAGGAGTACGACTGCGATGGGCACATCAGCCGGCCAGATCCCGTCCCGCTCCGACCGCGCCAGAGTCAAAACTTGCTCCTAAATCTGGGCCCGGCTGAGATGTGTGCCTGTGGTCGCAATCAGGTGACATCATGCTCATTTTTTGAGCGAGCTCATTTACAGAGGGTCCAAGAGTAGAGAGAAGAAGCCTCACCGTTGTGAGGCAAATTCAACTTTCCAAATTGGCTGCGAAGCCCTGTGCGAAGCTACCCTGCTGGCAAGATGGTGCCCAAGGAGCAGCACGGCATTTGCATCAAGCGCTTACAGCTCAGGCTGGTCGACAGGCTACGATGATGCCCTGGCATGGACCTTGTCTTTCAAGCGAGAGATCTTCGAAGAAACCTGGTGCATGTTGGTCGTACTTGTCTAAGTTGCTAGCGTCATCACCATGCACCAAGGAATGCTTGCCAAAGTACAAAGAGTCTGTCGTGAACGACGTGAGGACGGATGCCGCTTATGATCGCCCCTGGCTGACGAAAATGCCGGCAAATTCTCATGTGGCAGCTTGACTGAATGTTAGGGAAGCGGTTGACACACGTGGCGGCGGCTAACATGCTTGTGCCCAGCGACGGCCACAGAGCACAAGCACTGATGTGAGCCCTGTTCTTCGAAACACAGTTCTTGCTAGTCAGTTCGTCAGGCTCGGTCAGCACCGCTGGATATGGAGGCTCGCTTCGACGAGCTGTGGCGCCTTGACATGTTGAAGTGCTGTCCATGATCAAAGCGCTTCTCACAGCGATTGGCTCCTACTTGATGCTTTCAACAGTAGCCTGCAACATAGCTTCTAGAGGCTTGCTCCTGCTAGTTGCAGGCTGGCTCTCAGCTAGTCCCAGTTTCACCAACATCCACTTGTGGCCAGACCGTTCAATCAAAAGACAGCAGCAAAGGGAAGGTGTTGGGTACAGCAGGATCTTGCTGTGATAGCGTGATTTTCTCGGATGCCCAGCAGAGCACAAATTACACAGAATCAGCATGCATAGCGTATCAAATCTTAGCATCAGCAAGGGGTGATTTGATATGTTTTGGGATGGAGTGGCCGTGTGGCAAATTGTGAGACGTGAGGTCGATCTATGCGCACAAGCTGGGGCTGCTGATGAACAGGCTTGAGGAAAACTCGTTTGATCCGGATATTCTTCCTGACAGACCTCCTCACCGCTTCAATGCCCATGGGGCCGCAACTGTCAGCATGGCATAATAGGCATATCTACCAAAATCTACAAATTCCTGCAAAGTAGTAATAGTATTATCAGTATACTAGCAATAGTAATAACTGCAGTAGCAATGATAGATAGTAATAAAGAAGTAATGATAGTATTAGTAATAGTACTACTAGACACAGTAATAGTAGCAGAAGTAATCATAAACCCTAAACCCTAAAACCCTAAACCCTAAAACCCTAAACCCTACACCCTAAAACCCTGAACCCTAATAGTAATAGTAAATCCTAGGCGACCACCAGCTGGACCATGCCGAGACCAGCTCTCCCGCCACCTGAGCCTGTGATGCTGCCACAGAGGACTCCAAAGTTGAAAAAGGGGTTTAGGGTTTTAGGGTTTTAGGGTTCAGGGTTTAGGTTTTAGGGTTCAGGGTTTAGGGTTTAGGGTTTAGGTTTAGGGTTTAGGGGTAAAGTTAGGGGTGCCCTTTTGGGAAAATTAGGGGTACCTTTAACGGGGATATATAGGGACATAGGGTTTAGGGTTTCCCAAGAATAGGGGTACCACTGGGATTACATAAGGATACTACCCCAATAATGGGCAATCAAATGCAACAAAAAATGAAGCATCAAATGGAAACTGGGTTTATGCAGGGATTGGGGTTTCCCAGCATCAAGGGTCCCCTTCTAGGGGTCCCTATAATAAGGATTATAGTACTTTGGGGTCTATATTGGCGTCCCCTGTGTAGGGAAACTACCAAATCTGCCTTAGGATGCCCTTTGCATCTGGTCAGGAAGCAGACCGAGGAAGTTCCTGAGGAGAGATCCAAATCCAAGGACACGCTTCAATCCGATGAGACCCCTAAACCCTACCTCTTAAAACCATATAGACTCAACCCTATAGACCCCTAAACCCTATTTGATTATTAGTGTTGAGCTCGTTGACGCACGGTTTGGGTGGCAGCCGTTACTTTACTGAGGGTATTGCTAGGTATCTGCAGAGGTACTCCTCACTCCCGCAGTCTTGCACCTTAACTCCTACTGCCCAAGTTTACCCCGACCACTGCCACAAACGTGCAAAAGCCACCGCCACAGAAATAGCTACTTCCGTGGGCTGATGCTGCTGAGCCATTGCTATCACTGCCATTTACTTCAGCTACTGCTTCTGAAGCACCGCGCCTCTACTATGGTTCTACCACTACGAATGCCATAATGCAGCCAACTGTCCGTGCTGCTACGGGTCAGAGGGCATCCTAGATTCTGGCCGCAAGCGAAGCTGTCAGAGGCGTTCTGACAGCAGCTCGATTGACCAGTCGCCCAAGTCTGAAAGCACTTTGTCTATGCCAGGGCTCCAAGTCAAAGCCATCCAAATCACGCAGTCGCTCCAAAGAGCCGGGCTCCAAAGACAAGCGCTCAAAGAGCAAGGACTGCACCCTGGAGGCTGGTAATTATGGATCCTCATTTGCCCAGTTCTTGTCAGGAGTCGCGCAGCAAGAGCAAGACAAGCCGAAGCCTGCCTGCTGAAAAATCCAGGCGAGGAAGGTCCATCAGATCATGGGCCTAGCAGTTATGAATCAAGTGGCCCCAGATGTTTCCAGAAGGCCAAGTCAATGAAACGACATGCAGCTAGTCCCACATGTCGCTGCAGTTCCCAAAGCATGCCGAGCGTGAACAACTCCGCTTCGGGTACATCCACCTCAGCGACGCCTCCGACCCAAAGCACCAGCCTAGTGCCGCTTGACGTGGCATCTAAAAGCATGCTTCGAGAAGGCGGAATGCTTTAGAACCAGTAGGAGCACCATGTTCATTTGTCTGCAATGTTGCATCCAAACTCCTTCAGAAGACCAAGGTTGGAACAACCCAGAAGCACTTCCAGGGAGCTTCCGGACAAACCCAAGGACCCTGCATGGTCGATAGTTTACCTGCCAGACACTGCTTTCAGAAAAATTGGCAAAGCAGAAAAGAATGACAGTTTCACGGTGGCCGCAATGATGGTGCAAGAAAGAGGATGATAAATGTAGTACTACCTGGGAAGCCACAGCTATTGAATCGAAGGGCACGAGCGAAACCCCTCTTGGTATAATTGAGGGCAGATCAGAAGTGTTTGAGGTCATTGCAGGGCAGGAAATCACACTGGTGCTACCAAAGCTCCAGTAGCACTACAGCTTTGGAGGAGCCAGCATCTCCCACAGCGCAGCGGTGCCTTGACAAGCAGACCTTAGTGCTGATTAGGGAGCTGCTTTTGGGCATGTTTTGTAGGTGTACCTGTAGGCACGGCTGACTTTGTGCGGAGTGCAGAAAGGCTCCATTTCATGCAGGATGCTGCGACCCAAGCGCCAGGAAGGCCTTCAGACGATGAGCAAGCTTAAGGGATCAAATGAGGGAGGTGAAAGCGCGGGCGTAGCTGTTTTTTCAGCTGTTGTTGTGTGGCGGGTGCTTGTTTGTCCAGATTTCCACCTTTTGGAATCTTGGAAGATTCCCACGGCATGAGAGCATATTTCTTTCATTTGTTTTTCGTGCGAACTCAGGACGCCAGCAATTTCCAAAGATACTGCAGCTGGTCCCAGTAAAGATGACAGTTGCTTTGCCGCACCAAGCGGCCTTAAACTCTGCATTGATCTATGCAGGCTGCGGGTTCAAGATGCCAGTGCAGCTGCTTAAGTCAGCTAGGGTTAACGCATCTATCTAGCAGTTTAGGAGAACTGTTGACAACATCTCATGTCCTTTTAAGACAGAGATGAGAGCAATTTCATTGATGCTTGCTCACATTGTAGAAGAATCACGTACTTGCTGTGGTGTTTGTAACGAAGGCTCACCTGCACCAGATAGCGTGCCGGGGCCCGACCCGGCTTGGCAAGAGGAGACACAGGACTTGGCCAAGCTTGACCCAATTATGTGTGGTTGTTTGAACGGGGCTACCGACGGGGAGAGCGATGCCATTCTTCTCAAGATATCCACATGTCTTCTTGAGGGCTGTGGCATAGTCTTGAATTTCATTTGCAGTCTGCCCCAAGTGCGGGCCCATGCAAGGACGAGACAAGCCCTTCACAAGCAAATGTTGCCGAGGGCATACCTGAAGAGGTGGCCCAGCAACAGCCCTGGAACGGAACATGGTTTAGCAGCTGATCGCTTGTCTCTGAAGCTGTTAGGATTCAATGTCTTACTGATGGTTAGTGGGGAATAAGGGAATATGATTTCTATATTTGTATAACCCCTATATCATATATACCCTTCTTCCCTACTAAGAACCTTTGAGGACTAAATGGAGGGCTATTGTTTCTCATTCCTTGAATGAAGGCTTCGCTAGAAATTATTCAAGGCGAGGTCTTCCGGCCAATCGTTCATTTTGCCCTACTGGGGCTTAGTAGGGAATAGGGGAATCTATTGCATAGGGATAATCTGGGGACTATATTCCAGTATTCCTAACTAAGAACCAGTAAGCTCAGGGTTATGGCTACGGCTAAGGGACCCCGAACTGTAGCACCTGTAATATAATCCCCGTAAAGTTCGGGGTATTATATGGACTGGGCTACGAAGGCGGAGGGCTTGAAGGTAGCTTCCACAGACTGGGATTTTGTAATTAGTGTTGGGAATCGAGGGTGAGCATGAGCATATTTGCATTTTGAGAAGCAATCCCCACAGGAATGTTTGGCTCAGATGTACACCCGCTTTGCGGGCACATAGGTTTAGGTCTCATCACGTGCCACGCTGACGCACGGCTGCACTGAGCTTGTCCAACCTTCTGTGCCTTCAGGCAAACCTCGAAGGGAAGCATAGGGAACTGCAGGTGCATGAAGCGGCTGGCTGCCATTTTTCCTCGTAATGTTGGCTTCGCATTAAACCACCCCCCCGATCAAATTGATCTATTTCCGTTCTGGGGGAGTCCTGGAATGTCTCTTTGAAAATCTATTTAGAAGAAATACCATCTAATTAAAATCGTGGCCACCCAAAAAACTTCTCCGGGATTTTATGATTGTGGGTCTTGCTTGGTATAAATCTGTTCCGGCAGGAGTGTATAAATCTGGGGCTAGTCCCTAGCATGAAGTCAATATTGGCCCAGGCATTTCCATGGTCTTCTGCGCGCGCCGGCATGTGCCTTCGGGTCGGACCGGGGTTGAAGTCAAACCTTCGCACGGAGCCAAGCTTTGGGGGTTTCCTAAAGTTAGGGGTACCTTTTTGGGGGCGCCCATAATAAGGCGTATAGTATATTAGGGTCTACATTTGGTCCCCTAATTTTGGGAAACTAGCATGTCAGCCAAGATCTGCAGAAAAGAGGTTTGACGAAATGACCGAACTTGAAGAGTACGCAGCCTGTGCCCGATGAGGCCAGCATCTCTTGTGGATGCTGAAGATATCCCAGGGCCGATAGATACCATCCTTTTTGTGGACGTGGATGCTTGTCCTGTTAGTAAGGCTTCAACAGCATGTGGGAATGCTTGCACAACAGCGGACGGTAGACCTTAGTTACAGGGATTTGTGACCCTGCGGCTTCGATGCATAACTTGGTATTTGAGGTAAGTTGCAGAATCACCCAGAGTACCAGCGTAAAGCTTGCAGCCTAACAATCCTCGCAGATTCCTGACCTAGTAATTCATGCTTGGCAAAGCTGTTCGATTTGTGTCTCCTCTGTGAGTCAATGAAGTGGGGTCTCTCGCCTGACTACAATTCTAGTCTCAATTTGCACCCCGCATGCCTCAAGTGTCACCAGCGCGCAGCTTCTGTCTAATGGTTACCAATCATGTCAGCACACAGGGTTGAGCAGAATTTTACCCAGCAGCCGGACAAACCCTTACCAAAAAAAGCAGAAACCTGACGAATCCATTTATGTAACCCCCCTGTAAAACTAAGTCACTATATTGGGGGAACCCTATTATTTACTATAAATATACCCATTATGGTAACTTAATTTAAGTTCCTTCTTGGCAGCCAAGGATGGTGTGCTGAATGTTGGTCTCCAGGATGATGGCGCCTTGGATCCTCAAAATGGAAACTACTATAGTATATTGGGTTATATTGGGGTAATGGAAAGGAAAATGGAAACTACTATAGTATATACGGGGTTACTGTACAACATGAGTCCGTCTGCCTGCAGCAAGTTGCATAAGAGCAGGGTTCATATGTGCAGTGGTCTTTGCTCGAACGTAGGGAATGCACCAATTCTGCTCAAGACGAACGAGCTCAAATTGGCACGCGAACTTTGTGCTGCAGGCTATACAGGCCCCTTGGACATTTTCTCGTTCCCATTATTGCCACTCAAGCTTCTGCAAAGTGCTGCCAGCGGTGTCAATGCTTGGGAGGCCCAGATGCTGAGACTGCGCGGCGAATCTGTGCGCTAGCTTCTCACTCAGCGGATCACTTCGGCACCATCACCTTCGAAGCACTAGCAACTGGGACTTGTCAGGTCCATTCTGCGAAGCGTCTCTTTTTGCACAGCTGTCATGTGCATCCTTTTGCATGAACGTGGGTGTCGAGGCCAGCCAGGACCACCTCTCCAAGGCACGACTGAGACAGGGAAATTTTGCCATGTTGTCAGAATTGGTGATGAGCTGGCAGGTGTTGCTGGGACGGCTTGCGCTCCTCATCCAGGATCTTGCTTGCCTCTTCCGCAGTTGTTCAGATCGTGCTTCCAATTCTTTTCTTCAGTGGAGAAGGGCCCTTTCAGAAGCCCTACATCCCTCCTCGCATCAAGTTTGTCCAACATGATGAATATCGTGAAGGAAGAGGGGGTCCCTGTTTGGAGGAGGCCGGCAGCAACTGCCATGTGGTTTTGTCTTCCAGCTGGAGGAAGAAGCAGCATGCCGGACGCCGGAAGGTAGCATGCCTCTGAAGCTGTACATGCTTCTTAGAAGGGGTCGTCAAAGGCTCACTTAAAGGCACTTCAATTGATCAATAGATTACATATCTTTTTGTCACTTCATACACTTTGCGTTTTGTTCAAGATAACACATGAAAGTTCATAGGGGGCAGTTGAAGGGCTGCCACACCAACCAAAAGGGACATGCCTTAAGTCATCCTGAACAGCAAGTCCGATGAAAAACATGTACGTAATCCACATGTGCTCTCGCGGTGTTCATCATGCAAAGGTGCTCGAAGAGGAGTTGGCGCAATGCTTGGGGAGGCAGGTGAACTCGTGAGCTGCAACGTAAGACTGAGGAGCTTTATGCCAGAGACAGATTTTATACAAACGCTCACAAGAGTCAGCCCCAGTTCTGTACAGAATGGGTTTGCGCTTTTCTGAAAAATCCCTGTATTTGAAAGTTGCGACCCCAAATTTTTAGAAGTCACGATAACAGGTTAGGTTGGCGGTACCTGGCCTTAGTCATATCAAATTCTTTTGGGAAGGGAGCTTCTTCAACTCATGAGGGATAGTTACGGGCTATGTTCGATTCCGGATAGCTGTCATAGTCCGAACATGCGGGTTGGTATGGTGTCTGCAGTTGCATCGGTCTTGCTGAGTACATGATGTTTTTTTGGTATTCTCGGTGTTATACATGAAGCAATGCGCTGAAGCTAGTGATGCCCTTGCCCGCCTGCATTTGTGGCAAAATCGAAGTCACAAAAACATGCCGCAATCATGCTACATTGCCACCCACCCATCCAGACTCGAGTCTTGGTACTACTGCGTGAGGAAAGGAATAAGTCCGCTTGGAAGGGGGCAGACCCTTCCCTGAACCTTCATAAGTTCTTAGCACACTAATTCAGAAGCCAACGTTATACCTACGCCCACACCCAACGCCCCAAAATCAAGTCTCCAAACCTTACAGCGTGCCTAAAGAAACTAGCACCGAAAGTCAGACGCATGGCAATGCTTTTGATCAATTCAGAGGGGCCTTGCCAAATCGATTGCTCTCAGTTTCGATGCAAGCGTTGGAACCTCATTCCTACACCTTGAACATCCTATTACACGGTGGCTGACAACTATCAGGCCTTTTGCCTTTGACGGAGTCACGGGCATGTTACTCCCAGAGCGCCACGTCGGCCATCGGCTTGCTGCAATTCGCCACTTGGCATTTCTTACATTGTCACCCCATGCTGCTTTTTTGTTTGAGTATCCCTGGCTACTTCGCCGTCAATCCTTTGGTGTGTTCAGTAGGTATACTTTGCCCCATTTATTGCTGCAGGTACTGGATTACTGTTGTTTTTGTCTCTTCTTGCTCCTGCTGCTGATATTGCTGCTGTTTGCCATTGCCGTCACTGTGTTCATTGTTGCCTCATTTCCGTTTCCCCTGGTGGCGGTCGCTGTCGATGTCGCAGTCATTGTGGCTGCGGCTGCTGCTGCTGCTGCTGCTGCTGCTGCTGCTGCTGCATCATATGAATGTTTGTCGGGAAGCCTTTTTTCAAACTACTGGCACTTTCGTGATTGGTGATGCCCAAGGAATGTATTTGGCAGAGTTCGCACACAAGGACGGAGGGCTGGTCATGCATGATCATGAAGAGATGTTTGGTTTGTCCATCTACTAGCGAGCACAGAAGCGGAGGACAGATTGGCGGCGAATGCCAAGGTGGTGGTCATTGACGATTTCTTTCTCAGTCCCATTTCTGGTTGTGAGTGTGGTGATATGAGCGCCTCAGATGGATCCACCTTCGCACGCGTCTGTTTGGCATGCCAACTCAGATTTGAGCATGTGTGTGTGACTGGCAGCATCATTTTTCACGGCGTAGTTCAGGATCTCTGTTCAGACTGCAAGAGGATCTAAGGCCCCAAAGACACCATTACTTGGCAGCCAAATCCCTGCCCCAGGTAATTGAGTAACGCTCTCTTCTACCCAGGGGTTTCTGTAAGAACTTAGCTCTGCCATGGATGTCCACGGTTTTCCTGCATGTAGGGCAAGCGGGATGCCAGATAGGAGAAGCTTTGTGGCCCGTGCTAGCACAGGAGCGGCCTGCTTCTTCAGAATTTTTCAGATCTCGGGGCGCGATTCACCCTCGTGCAATTTTGGTGGATGCGGAACCCAAGGTCGTTGAAAATGTGATGTCCCAAGACACGGGAGCATATGTCTTTGATCCAGCAAGCGCAGTAATGACCCAAAGCGGTCGGGGGGGCAACTTTGCCCTAGGTTACTACGGGGAAGCTTTGGGCCAGGCTTCAGCTGCTTCAGCTTTGGATGGAGACACCGAGCCTCTTTGGGCTAAGGCTTTAGACCGTTTGAGAAATCAGGTTGAGGGCTGCCATGGCCGCCATCTGGGCACTTACTTGGCTCATTCTTTGGGAGGAGGAACGGGAAGTGGTCTGGGAGCCCGCCTCGCGGAGGAAGTTCGGGACAACTACCCCAAGGCTTCTCTTCTTACAACCTCAGTTTTACCCATTTCCAGTGGCGAAAATCCGATGCAGAGTTACAACGTGATTCTGTCACTTGCCTGCATACAAGAGGTGGCAGACGGTCTGCTTCTGTACGAAAACGACTCCTTGCTTGCATCTGCTGACACCAACAGCGCAGATCACATGGCTGGCGCTTCGTTAGCTTCCATGAACTCCATTCTGGTACGGGACCTGGTTCCGCATTTGTGCCCCGACTCGCAACCGGCTGACCTTGGTGAACTAGTATCCGCAACAGTGCCCCTGCCCTGTCACAAGATTATGCAGGCTTTCAGCGGCGAGGTGCTTTCATCACTCGGACCACCCTCAAGCCCTAAGCCAGTTATCGAAGCCCTGCGGCTCCCCCGAAGTGCACGGAATTCCGGCAATTTAATCGCTGCTCGGGCTGTCGTGCGCAGTGCACCCAAGCAGCTGGTAAGTGCAAATTCCGCTTTGAGAGATGAGCTCCTTGATCGCCTTGGTGGCGCAGTGCCTTGGCAGCCCTTTGCGCTGGACGTTTGCTGCAGCACGCAGCCTTTGCGATCCGCGCCCGCTTCACGAGCAAGCATTCTGACAAACTGGAAACGGGTGACACATTCGCTGCGAGGGGTGTACTCCCGCGCTTGCAGCAAGTATGCCTCGCGAATGTTCCTGCATTGGTACGAAACCTACGGCTTCGGCCCAGACGGGTTCGCGCAGGCTTTCGAGGTAGTTGAGTCCATCATTCATGATTACGAGGCTCTATAGAGCTGGCATGCCTTAGCATAGATGGCATAGCAACATGCTTTGCTGATCAAAGTATCCAGCATGGTGCGATTGAAAACTTGCGCATTTCTGGTGATATTCGGTGGTTGGTCAAGTTCTTGGCCAGCCTTGTTGCTTTGATGAACTGAGGTATCCATTCTCTTGCAGATGCAGAAGCCTACCTAATGCGGGGACTCGGGGACACCGACCTCACCGCTGATGTTAGAATTCTGCACTGCTATGAGGAATTGACATCGGACTTTCGGCCGCATAACATGCCAGCAGAGTGCAAAGTGCTGCTCAGAGAAGGTGCGGGCTACGTAGAGTGTACTTTCCAGTTTCTTGTCCATTCCATTCTGTATTGAAGTAGTTTCCATTCTCTTGTCCGTTATTAACCCCAAACCCTATGAATTTAGGGAAACCTGGTAACTTCCCTAAATATCGGGACCCCAATATAGACCCCAAAATATAATCATCCTTATGAAGGGAACACCCAAAAAAGTATACCAATTTTGGGATGCTTCATGGATGCTTCATTTGTTCCCTGCAGAGTTGTTTCAGCTACGCGGGAGGAAAAAAAAAGCCTAATTTCGGGACCCTAAACCCCAAACCCTTTATACCCTACTATAACATAGTAGTTTCCATTTTCTTTTCCATTACCCCTATATAGCCCCCAATATTAGGGAGACCCACATCTCGTGTGGAGCTGAGGATGGCTACACGCTCCATGTGGGCACGGGCTTGTCGGGCAGCCTTCTGGCAGATGCTCTGGAGCTTCTCAGTGGCATTATACTTCTTAACGTTACCTGTACAAAATCCACCGGAGCGGACCCCCATCATCTTTTTGTACTCTCTAGGAATCTGGAAAAGTTTGTCAGGGTGTCCCGCTCTGGGAAACCCCGCAGTTGTCACACATTTCACTGCTTCTGCTGGCATTCAGCATTGCCATGCGAACAGCCTATCTACCCTTCATCCCTTCTGCAGGTTCTTGAACCCATCTGCAACCTCGAGTCCAATTCCGCTAGAAGGAGTAGGTCGGCCAAAAACCGATGTCATGAAAGAAGGCTGGGGTGCTTCTGATGAATACCTGAAGCATGGCTGTACACCTGCTCGCTTGGCAACCTGCTCTTCCATGCTGTCAGCGGCCAAATTAGGGAGTTTCAATCAAGCACATGCTGCTGTTGGCCGTGCTTGTTCCCAGCGCGATCCACTCACTCATTGAAAAAACTAACTGCGTGTGTCTGCCATTACTGCATTGTTGTGAGTGTGGCATCTTAACTCATGCGAAACTGTGCTGTCGGCAGGCTCAGCGAAGAACAGCTTCTTCCAGGTGATGGCCACTGCTTTCGCGCCGCCAACCACTCCCGTGCTTTGGGTTGTCTAGCAGAGCACCTAGTCATAATTCACCAAGTAGGTACTACCGTCCTGAATGCCACGATGAAACGTCTGCACTGTTTGAGAACCCAAGTTGAGTTCAGCTGGGAGATAGGCCAGGGCCTGTCGCTGTGGTTTTAATCTGCATGGGGTCCTGCAGCAACTTTGCAGCCAGCGTTGTGGTCTTTTGAGCATTTGACCGGTGAGCTACAGAGATCAACAGCGGGAAGTCACTTCTCAGGGGGGAGTCACAAGACACGCCCGCTGCAGTTGCCTGTGGACTGTGCAGAGGGACAACTTGTGAGATGTTTAGAGTGTATGAAGTGCAAAGGCACGTAGGTCATGTTCCACCGAAGGACGGATGCCTTCACAAGAGAGCCTCTACTTAGATGAGAGTTGTTTGCGGTAGACGCAGACTACCCAGAAGACAGCTTTACTCGTACTGCCCAGCGTGAAAGGCACCTGAGGTCATACATGTTCGTGACACGTGAAGTGCGAGCTGCTTCGCAGCAGTGCCCATTTGCTTTTGTGAGAACTTGGCGGTCAGGGGCGCACTGATCTCAATGAGTTCCAATCCAAGCACTGCCCAGGGCATGAAACTTTTGCTCAATCTTTGCTTCATTGCGTGGGCCCCTGGTTTCCCGCATGCTCAAGCTCGTCGCCGACAAGCGTAGCATCTTAAATGCCATGCGGTCCTGTTCCAGGGCGTGCCTGGCCTTTGTGGCACGCGCCCAATCGCCCCGCCAATGACACTTTCACCAAAGCTGAGCACTTCAACTGAGCACAAGTTATGCCTGAGCTCTCTTGAGCCAGGCCGGTCCATGCATCTTAGGAGACTGCAACGTAGCCTTTACGAGAAAGTCATTCAACCTCACACTCAGTTACGTTGAAATTCTGCTTCTGCCATATTGGTTTGACTGCGAATACAGGAGAGCAGAGTCAACTCTTGGCGCATCTTCCCCACCATGCAATGCAGTTATCTCTGAAGTAGGGACCAATGCCAGGGATGATTCTCAGCGCACATATGGCTGAAACATCTTTGCGGTCTCATGTTGCAAAGCAAGAAACAACTCATGTGATTTGGACTAGCAGGCCAGCGAGACATGTTTTGAACCAAAGATGGTTTTTGGACACTTGAGGCGCTGCAGGCAAACGCATGGTGGGTGCGAGGCAGTTGCATTAGACAACACCGCAGTTCAGGAGTGCGAGAAAAGCTGCGCGCTTGAGAATCGCTACGGGATATCAAGCCTGTCTGCCTTTCTTGAGAACAGACTCGGCTTAATGTCAGAGCCAGAGCGTACCAGTTTAGCACATCTCCGGGGTTGAATGACCGTATCAGATGATAAAATCTAGCTAGAAGGGCAAGTTAATTAAGGAGCATACAAGTCAGAAGGACAGACTTCAGGGGTATTTGGCCATGTGCCGCAACTCGGCCATTGTCCTAGCTACGGAAGGCCTCTCGAGCCAGACCTGCCATGCGGAAGGTTTAGCGAGAAGATCCTCATGGGCCTTTCGCTGCTAGCTGGCAGGCTGGCAGGCGGCAGCAGGCATCTCGGGTTGAGGCAAGCACGGCAAACAAAAGCATACGAAGACATCATTGCAACACAGCCTCCATCTGATGCATTGTATGGTTTCGAGGTGTTTTGAAGCTGTGCTTCTGTGCGCTACAAGAGCGCTTCAACCCCTGATGCCATCATGGCCTTAACCAAATTCATAGCTCGCCACTTCTGTTTTGACCTGCTTTGCATCAACAATGCAATTCTGCCTTACCTCCATAAAGAGAAACCTTTCAGACGGCTTGTGTCAGTGGCAGGCCATCTCGGATAAGGCCAGGACATCAGTTTTCCAATGCAAAATATTACTTTCTTAAGACAGGCTGGCTAGCAGTCTCTCATGTATTTCAAGCGTTGCACGCAACCGAGCCAGTGACGTAGGCGCCCCACTTGTTAATACAGGACTACGTGTCTAAACCTGGCTAGGCTCGACAAGACAGTTCATGATTGAGCTTGCCTTTTTAAAGACAAGTTCTGAAAGTCATGACTCTCCAGCGCCTCATTGCTCGGCGGACTGCTTGCTGAAGCCAGTCAGTTTCAAGGTCTGCTTGCAAGTCAAAAACTTGCAGTGCAATTATTGCACAGGATATGTTTCCGTAGATTTGGAATGAGTTGCCGTTGGTTTTGAGGTTCTGAACGCGCAGAGAGTTCCTGCTGCTGAAGTAGCGTTGTTGACGAAGGCTGCACGAGCTGTGCTTAAGAAAAGAGCGTTTGCAGACCTTGCTGCTCCGTAGAATTGGGCCGCAAAAGGCAGGACATTCCAGGGGATTCAGTCTTATTTTCCTGGGCTACGGCTCTCCCGCACGGCTAACTGCAATTTGCCCCTGCTTTTTGAGGCCGGTGAAGCGGCAGACTGTTCGGCCTCAAGTTGCTGCCTCCTTAGCTGGGGAATCCTCATTGCTACACCTACGAGTTGGAAATATCCGATGTCAGGAGGAGGGGGTACAAGAAAAAGGGCAATGGCAAAGGCTTACTGAAAGAGCCAGTGTAGGGCTGCAGCTTATTCGTCACTCGAAGCCGGGCGTCATGTACTGTCGATTGCGCTGGCGGTGTGCGCCAGCAATGGTTAGATCATGACCGCACAAATTTGAGGGCGCTGCAGCCTGAAACATTACTATGCTGAGGCGGGCCGACCCCAATGCACGCTTGTAGCTCAGATTCTTCGCAAAAGCTGCTATTGCAAAAACTCAGAGGCATAGGACAGAGTTGGGCACTGCAGGATGTGGATGAGTTCCACGCTGGGGGCCGCACCAGGCGTGTTCGGGACCAAAGGTGTGGATTCTCCCAGCGGTGAAGAATCCGTGTTATGCCAGGTTATGCCCCAAAAAGTGACCCCTAATATTCGGAAGCCCCATATACATCCCCCTACTACCCACTTTAAAGCGATACACCCTGCTGAAGGCATGGGTCCCGATCCTGTGGCTCTGACGAACAGCAGGTGCGGCTTCAAAGCGCATTGTTCTGTGTATATTACAGTATGTATTATAGTTTTAGTTCATTATAGTATAATAATAATAATATAGTATATGAGCATTTCTTGGCAACTAGTGGTTTTTCCAACCCTGAAGCTGCATACTAAATCCGATGTCATTCTATTTCTTCTCCGCTGCAGTTCCTGGCTGAGCGCTGCGCTGGAGAAAATCCCAACGTTTTATGCGGGCAACTCAGACCATCTCAGACTGATTGTCTGCGACATGCACACTCACATGTGTCCACCTGAGGCGCGAGAGGCCCTGCCCACTCTGTACAGAAGACCGTGGCCTAAAGCGTCACAGCGGTCGCCATACGAGCAGGTTGCTGCTCAGGATCCCTTGCCATTTGCGCAAATCAGACTCTGGCTTTCACTATTTCAGGCCAACTTCTCCAGCCCTTGCACTTCTAGGCCGTGCAGCGCCAGGGACCTAGCATGATTGTTGCATAAACCTCCAGATGTCTCACTTGGCGGCGATCCTGCGCTGCAGTCAGGCTGCGACGGGTATTGGAAGTCAAGCAGCCAGTGCAAGGAGGCTCCATGCTTTCCAGTCTAGACTTCCGCAGCCATGCATGGGAAGCTGAAGTGTTTGAACTGCAGGCAAGAGGCGGCAGAGAGAGATGCATAATATATGAGGGCGCCAAAGCAGTGAGAAGAAGAAGAAGAAGAGCGATATAACATGTGTGTATGTATGTATGTATGTATGTATGTATGTATGTATGTATCGTATGTATCGTATGGTATGTATGTATGTATGTATGTATCGTATGGTATGTATGTATGTATGTATGTATGTATGTATATCGCGAGGCTTGTATCCCCAGAAGAAGAAGAGCAACAAGAAGAAGATGTGCATATACATATATATATACCGGCCCCGTGAAAACACCAATTGTGAATGCCGCTAAAACAATTGGGTTTTGGATCATGAGAATTTTAAATGCTCCGGTTTGGTGCTGGTTGTTAGCTACTCTCGTCTGTATTCAGTACCGCTGTACTTGGTCAATAACGCGATAATACGGAAACACAGGATCACAGAAAACCAAAGAACAAAAAGACCAACTTTTTTGGGAAGAATCCAAGTATGGCGGCTGAACGAAGACTCCCTTCATAACAAACAGTACTAAGAAGTTGAACTATGGAAGCAAAGGAAGCCAAAAAACGCCCCACAGCCAAACAATACAAAAACAGGAGTTACATCCTTCCCATGATCCACCGGAGAGTCCTTTGCCAGCAACAAAATATTTTCGTATCGGTTCGTACACACGCATTTATTCAGGAAGCCGCTGATACCAGCTCAGAAACAGTTGGGTCTAGAAAAGATATATAAGATGACATTTGCAAAAAAAACAGTAGAAACCGAAGCACGACAGGAGATCCTTTATTCAAATGAAATTTCCTTTGGGTTATTTTTACAAGTTCCGTTTACAAAAGCCTTTTAACACTGATCAAAACCTGGAAAGTCAAGGGGATCCCAAATTCTAATTGCGTTACCTTTAACAGCCTTATTGTTTTGTTTTTAAAACAATGTAAGCCTAGGAAATGAAGCACGCCCAAAATTCTAACTAGATTTCCTTGAAGCTCATTTAGATACCTTCCTTTTTTAACACACATTATACATACAATCAAGACTAAGAAATGAGGGAACACCTAATCTTCAGTTATCTCTTTGGGGCACTTTTTTCTCAGTCCCTTTGTAAATTTCAGACCTTACAGCAAAAGAAACCTTGGAAAATCTGGCAATCCCATTGTAATTCAATTTCACTTTGTTCCTTTTCTACAAGTTGGTTTCTAGACAGCCTTTTCGAAGACCAAGAATTTAAGGAAGACCCCTAATTCAAATTGTGTTTGTTCTTGCTTTGTTGTCTTCCTTCATTAACAATTATACAAACAATCAAGACGTAAGAAATGAAGAAGACACCTAATCCTGGATTAGATTTCCTCCGGGCTCATTCTTATCAGTTGCTTTAAACATTCCGTACAAAAGCCAGGAAAACCCTTGAGCATCGAGGAATCCCGAATTTTAATGACTTGACTTTCTAAAAGCCAAAGCAACAGAGGCGTGGGAAATAAGCAAATCCCCATGCCCTTTTGATTCCTCATTACATCTGCCCCCGTGGCTTCAGAGCCACCTGAAATGGTTATTAATGGCACTCTGATTGGCTGCTGCCCTCGGAACACCAACTTTCTCCTAGGGAACAAATTGCTTGCTTCGTAGACGACATCAATTTTGCCCGGGGAAACCCCTCAATAAACTTGTTTGGGAAGGATGGTGGCTGGTCAAAAAGTTGTCTTTGGTTTCACAGGTGTTGGAAGGGTTGGCCTTACAATCTTTTGCGACAAGCAAGTGTTCTCAGAGAAAAAAGTTTTTTCTAGCCCGGGTCTTCCAACAACCAACTTTTTCCTAGGACTTTTCTTCAGGAAATGCAACCATTCCTGGGAAAACCAAAAACGCAACCTTTTGGCATACATACATATATATATATGTATATATACGTATACACATTTAAACAGCATGCAAAGCTGCCTGATTCAGCAGGATTCCTCCAGACCGTGGCCCTAGCCTCAAAACTTGCTGTAGCACCGGCCGAGGCTTTTGAATTCACGGCAAGGCTTGAAAAGAGATTGTTGGAGGGATGCGAGGGACGTTTGCATGCGATTATCAGGGAGTACTTTGCCTCAGTTTGTTTTGCCTGCAATTGCATGTCTTTGTTAAGGACGTCGGCCGAGCTTTCGCCCCAGATGATTACCGCACACAGTTACGTGGGGGCGCGGAAAATCAGAGGCCTTCTTTCGGGAGACCCTTTAATCAGGATTATTGCAGATTGATGCCTATGTTGGGGCTCCTTTTTGGAAACCCCCACATGTCCAGTGACATGCTACTGCGCATTGCTTAAGCTGGCACGTGCAGTTATTGTATTGTCCACTTGATGGCATTTAATTGATGATGTCCATGTGAGTGTGGATGCAGCATTTTTTTGCTATTCTAATTCTGAATGACGCAGCCAAGGCACTACCTCTGGGCAGCGAAAGAAAGCTGACGTCCCGGCAGCCAACTCAGATATCCTCCCTCTGCAAAGTATTCGCACCAGTACAGCACAAAGCAGATCGGCGAGAGTCAAGGCAAAAGTCTCGCCAAAGTGCAAGGCAGAGCCAAAGGAGCCCACATCTTAGCGTACACCCTTCTTGCAGGTCTAAAGATGGAAAGGTCTAAAGAGACTTGCCTGCCTTCTAAGCTGCTAAGCCCTTGACAGTCCCAAGTTCAATGTGTGCCATGTTCTTCACTTCACATTCACCGCATACCCTACTGAGTCCTCGCCCATACTCCGCCTCCTCGCAAACTGGGCGTGCTGCGACGCTGCCTTCGGTTGGGCAGCGGCCAGCCAGTCGACAAAAAAGCGTGGTCCTTTTGCTTCAGGGAAGCGATTGAGTGTCAATTGACTTGTTGCTATGTTTTGATAGGTTGTCTCACTGGCACAAAGGCAGGACAACTTTAGCAGAAGCCGGCATGATCCTACCTCATGCCTGCGTTCTGCCATGGTTTTCGCATGTTTTGGCAACCACCTTGTGGTATGTGGGGCGGCAAAGGCTCCTTGGCAGGGATGTGAGCTGGAACAGAACCTGCCTTGCTGACATTTCCCACTGACAATGCACACACAAGTGGTGTGATACCACCTTCAGTGATGGAGTTCAGCCCTGCAGGTGGTTTTAAGCGCTGCGGTTGCCTCAGCCTATGCAACCTTCCCGCTGCGCAGCAATGCCCTGGGCTTCTCGGGTGCGGAGCGAGCAGAGGTACCAAGTGGGATCTTCCAGCCGAATTGTCTGAAATTGGATTCTGTGAAGCGCCAGGTCCTCTCTGCATACCCACTGCTTTACCTGGCAATGCTTTTCCCTGCCGGCGTGGTATGTGACAGGCTTGCAACCACCTGCCTGAATTTCCAGCTAAGCATTTTGGCTTAGTTCGGTCTACTCGAGAGATCAGGCTTGCAAGTAGAAGACGTGAACAAACCAGCTCCAATGGCACTGACAAGTGAGAGCCCTGCAGGGCAGAGCAGGCGCGGCGTGCTTTGGGTGTTGGATTGCTTGGGCTGGCAATCAGTATTTCTGCGACTTGGCTTGTCGAAGCAGATTGAAGCATGCAAGGGAAGTTGCAGACGGTCCTGAAAAATGAGGCGTTTGGATATTCAACTGCCTTGGCTACCCTCAGCTTGATGCGCGGCGCACAAGGTGTCTTGCAGAACCTGTGAGTTGTTTCGGTCCCGCATGGTGTGCCCATTGTATCGTGTTCAGAAGCAGCACTTTATGATCAATCTCTGGGTGCACGGTAGGGTCTGCATACTATTGTTACTCTTTTTTCATTGTTACTAGTAGTTTCCATTTTCTTTTCCATTTTCCCATTATAACCCCAATATAACCCCAATATATTGTATAGTATTGTTACGTGAGCGATTCCCTCTAAGGAGCGAGTATTTCACTTGTCATGGAAATCCCTGCCCTCTCGCCTTAAATTGATTGAATGCCTCGACTTATCCTGAACATCGAATGAGATATCCCGTAGAGATTCCCTACTGAAGCCTTGCCATCTGCATTATGCTACGTACTTCATGTGGAGTGGAGTGGAGTGGAGTGGAGTGGGGCGTCTCGACTTAAATCAAGGCGATACCATTTAAAGCTCAAATACTTACCTGACCACCCGCAAGGTCTCGCCAGTTGTGCCGCAGATGTTTCCTCAGCTGCGCTGGTTGCATCTGTCGCAGGGAGTAGGCAACCGCAAAACGTGTGAAAGGGAAGGGCCAGAATCAGTTGGCGTAGGGTGTTGAGGTAGGCTGTGGCATTTTCGGTAGCATTGCAAAAAGTAATCAAAGTTCGGTCTGCAGCTGCCCCTCCATTCTCATGCAGGTTGGCCTACATGGAAGGTGTTCTCGAATCTTGCGAAGCCCTGGGATGGATCCTGGGCCCGCCTATAGGCCAGGAGGGATTGTAGAGGGGTTCTAGAGGGATTATACAGGTGTTACAGAGGGATTCTCACATGGGGGTTACAGGGGGATTACATAGGGGTTCTATAGGAGGTACATAAGGTATTATCCTTATGGTGGAGGATCAAGTGCAAATGAAATGGAAACTACTAGACAGGCCTGGAGCAGATCGAGCACCAACAGACAAATGGTAGCAATAAACACCCCAAAACGCTAGAATCCTTAATGTAGGGACCCCCAAAAAGTTGCCCCAATTTCGGGCAACCCCGAAATGAGTAGAAACCTCACAGGGGCTCCGCATACTCACATAACCATTCTGACAAAGCTTCAGTGGTCTCCTTCACATGGAGCTCCTTTGAGGTTTCCTGAAAGGTGCCATGTTATACGAGTCTTTGGGTTTTGCAGCTGCCAACTTCATTTGGGGCGTGGTGGCTGCTGGCCTGGCTGCAGCTGTGGCTCATCTACCGCACGCTGCAGATACTGCCACAACTAAGTTGTTGCAGGCAGGGCAAAGCTTTTAAAACCTCCATTCCTCCTATCGAAAACCCAGCGCCCTGAAATCTAGTACGCGCACCATATCTCTTAGGGATTTATATAGGCGGCACGTAGTGGAGTCGTGGTATTTCAGGGAAGAGCAACTGTCCAAAAATGGATGAGGTGCATGAACGTGTGTCGGACCAGGATGTGGCAGGTGCCTCAGAGGAAGCTGAGCAGGGCCAACCCCACGGGAACTGCGCGGACACGACGAGCCACTTGCCAAGATTGGGCGTTGTTCTCCATGTTTCTTTGGGCTATTTCGCTTTTTCCCTTCACCTTGTACTTGGAGATAAGAATGTAATCAAGGACCTACTCCGAGGCCTAGGTTTAACGGTTTGAAACTCAACCATAAAAAGACACAGATCATTAGTCATCCAGCTGAAATGGCAGATACAAGTAAGGGCATGTTTGCCCAATTCAGTCATCTCCCACTACGATTGGATTCATTGGACCACGCAGGAAACGTATCCGAAAGTCTCTCAGATTCCAAGATGTACACGTCTATCAAAAGCCTTTCCAAGCTGCTGAAAACATTTACCTGCTGGCATCAATGCTTAGAGAACTGTTGATAAACGTGTGGTAGGTTTTTCGCGGGATCTGCGAAAGGGTTGTTGCGACCACATGTTCACAGCAAATGGTTGTGGATGTTACCTCTCATTTCAGGCTTGAAGAAAGTCCATGCGGAACACTTTTACCTATCACACCCTCAAACTCTATCTCCCTTCGCAAGGTTCTTAAAATTCCGGAACTACGCGATGCCTTCTATCACAACTTTGCGAGTACCTCTTAGTGTCAGCATGGTTTCGGACGAGAGGATGGTGGCTGCCCAAAGGCGGTTGATTTGATTCCGTGGCTATTGTTTCCACCTGTGGGTAGTTTGGAGTGTGCCCCAACGCATGTTCGTCACACGGTTCGGGCTCAGCACCAATATGAAAGCAGAAATGGAATCTGAATGGAAATACAGGCCGCCCAAATCCTATGTTCAACTTCTTCAAGGCTGTTCGCCAAAAGTTGTTGGGACAGTGAGGTTCGACAATGCTTTTGGCACGGCTTTCGGCAGAGGGAAGCCCTGTCTTTGCCTATGGCAACTTGGCAAGTTCTCCAAGGACTTGCTTTGGATTTATTTTTGAGATATTGCTGAGCACTTCAAAAGTACGACTTCCAGTACCAGCAATGCTTATGACGCAGGTGCTTGCAGCGGTGCCATGTACTCTGGGCTGGTGCTGCACAACAAAGCTCTTGGAACGAGAGTGAGCGCACTGCTTCAGTTGCTGGTGGCTGTGAGTTACCTCTTCTCCGCAGCTTCAACGGCATCAGAAATGTAGCAGCTGCTGTGCGTAAACATTTAGTGGCACAAGTCAACTACAGGCACCCGTTGTGGGCAGACAATGCGATGAGTGCGCAGGACACATGAGATGGGCAAGATGGAGTTCTGCTGCGCAGTTTCGGATGTTCACCTTGAGTCATAGAAAGCATGCGCACCCCAAACACATGCACATAGGCATGTCACGGAGTTTTCCAGGAGACAGCGCAGCCTTGAGCAGAAAGCTGGCACTTGGCTGGGCCATCCTGCCCCTCGGTCCTAAAACAAAATGACTACAGGATCATGCATCATGCAACTACTACTACTACTACTACTACTACTACAAGTCCTACAATTACTGCTGTGATTATTAGTACTATTATTATTATTACTACTACTACAGCAAGGAGAAGCTTGAGTCTTTGAGCTGGGCTCAGACCTTGTGTTTCAAGGTTCGCTGGCTTTGGGCTTTTAGCAGCAGATGCTGGCATATCCAGCCAAGCCCTAGGGTTGCTGCTCCTGGGCTTGGGAGAAGCCTTCGTGTTGCTGCCATCTTATCCCAGATCCTGGAGCATTGTTCAGTGAGAGTTTTACATGTTGGTGGATTTGTGGATTCCTCAGCTCAAAAAGTCCAACGTTCTTGGCGCCTGGTGCCATGGACGAGTCAGGATTAACTCTGGCATGCCCACATCGCCCGGGGCAGCTTTGACGCACAGAAGTGCAAATCTGATCGGTCGAGATAGGAACCGAAGCAAGCGTCATGCCTCGTATCATGATTGAAGCAAAGATGATGACCACCAGAAGGAAGTGCAATCCGTGCGGGAAGATGACGATGTTGCTCTTAGGTTGGTCTCTGCTTTCTTCAACGGAGCATGGGCCCTCGGGCAGGCCCGATTATGACCTCGACTGCCAGGGGACCAGGGGAGGAACAAACACTTTGCGGATTCGGAAATATTCATGGTGGCCGGTTGGGTTCCTGGATTTGAATTTGCAGGTGTCTTCTAGTCGTTTCCAATAAATTTGATTCATTCATGCATGTCGCTGCTGTTTGCGTCCTTGTTGCATGGGTTCGGGTGACTAGTTGACTGTGTGCGTCTTCATCACCAAAGTCGGTCCAGCCCTTAGGCACCGCATTGCAGTGCACTCTGATGAACGAACTGCTCCAAGTTCCATGAATCAGGATGAACTGTCCCGACTGTTCCAGACAACATAGCGAACGCGAGGTTCAAAAGCTTCTCAAGTGCCGTGAAGAAAGTGCCAAATGCCTGCTGGAGGCCTTGGGTCCCTTCATCCTCGCACTGGTAACCTGGGAGCAGGACTGACAATGTTCTGGGTTGCATGATGGCAGAGACCACCCTCCTACCCCCGCACCACCACCACAACTACACCAGCCACCGTCAGCTGAACCACCGAGCCTGCAACTCGCAGAAGCCCGCTGCACTGTAGCCTCTACACCGTTTGCAGAAGAAGTCGTCTCACAAAGCACCACGAGGCTGAAACACGTTGACACGTTCTCGATGAATCTCTGCAGGCAGAGATGGTGGCCAGCTGCTGCGCGCTGCGCCTTGGATTATTTGCCAGGGCCATCGTATTTGTCCTGTTGAAGGACCCATCCAACTCTGCAGGCACATGCCAGCATCCTGTGACTGGATACTTTACTGACATCTTGTGCTGTCAGCTCAGGAGCCTGGCTGGTCTCTATGCTTTTCTCAGCGTTGTGCAGGGATAGAGCCGATGCTGCCTCCCAGAAAGCCGGACAGCGCCCCTTTAGTGGTGATGCGCACTTCCGTGACTTGCGCAGCTGTCGCCCACAAGCGATCACGGACTGGCCAAAGACGTCAGTGTTTATCTTAGAGTCTTAGATGTTGTACGTGATGGCCAAATTGAGGTCCTTCAATCGTTGGCTTGTGTTGACATCAAGTCATGGGCAGCTAGTATTTTCTGTGCAAACCATGGAGACATGGATTTGAAACTCCTTTGCACAGCTTGAGCACGCTTCAGCAGATTGGGCTCGCTACCTGGGCTGAAGGGGCCGTGCTCAGCTCATGGAGGGTGCATTCCAGGCGTGACAGTGGGATTGAGCATTTCTGAGCTCAAAGCACGCGCAAGCTTGGCTGATGGACTCGTGGCTGTGTGTTAGAAGTTTGGAGCTTCAAGCTTTTGACCCCCTTTGCCCAGGGCGGAGCCAATTCGCCTCTCAGTGCATGGGTGGACGCCTCGGCTGTCATGGAAACCTCGTGAAGCTTCATCAAACCCAGTGGTGATTTGACTTTTGATCTCCTTGCCATTCTGCAAAGATTATGTTGAGCACTTGCCTGCTTCTGAGCTGGGCATGATGTAAGCATCCAGGTGTGCTGCAGCCATGAACTTTACGCTCGACACCTTGAAGGGTTGAGAGCCATGGCAACTCAGTCTTTTGTCAAAGGGGAGGTTGTTGAAGTGTGGAGCAACTCTCAAAAAACGTGGATATCTGGCGCTGTGGTTTTAGAAGCTCCGGACCGTGACTGCGTCATAGATGGCTACGCGATACCCGCAGGTGCAGTTAAAGTGACATCTACGGCTGGGACCAAGTGGATCCTGCCAGATCAGGTGCCCTCCAGCCTGCGGAAAGTCCAAGGAGGCGATGTTCCCGAGCCGGCCATGGGCCTGCCAGCCACACCGGCCCCTGGCAAGGCAGAGGCTTCCGTGGTGAAACCGGGCATGTGCAAGATGGGTTGTAATCGCCCAGTGCAGCCCGGTCTTACCCGAGGAATGAAGGCTTTTGACACCTGTTGCAAGAAGTGTGCACAGGGGAAGGGAGGTCACGATTCAAACTGCGGAGGCGGCTCCGCAAAGCCGCTTGCCAGGTCTGTGACAACAGAAGTTGAAGACCCAGAGAAGTGGTTGCGGGACCTCCTGTCTTCGCCAGATAGCTTCAACAAATATTGCGGCAAGATTGTGGCATCTGTTTCTGGAGATGCTGGGACCCTCACTCCGGCTCAAGCCCAAGAGGCAGTATCAAAATACTTGCTACAGCCCATTGGTACGACCCTTCCAGTTGATGCTCGCGCTGCAGAGGATTGGGTCAGCAAATGTGGCAAAGATGGGAGCATGGACATTCCAGCTTTCACAAAGCTAGCCCACCAAGTTCTCTTGGATAGATTAAAAGCCTGGTTCCCTGACAAGCTCATCGCCAAGACACACAGCTTCGTTCGCCAGAACCCTGCCAATGTTGAGGCAGTGTACGAAGTAGGGAAGCTCTTGGGTGAGGGTAGCTTTGGCAAGGTTTACAATGTGCAACACCGCATTTCAGGCGAGTCACGAGTCTGTAAGAAGATTGCAAAACTGAAAGGCAGAGAGGGCATGAAAGTCGAGGAGATCCTACAAGAAATTGAGAGCATGGCCACACTGGATCACCCCAACGTCATTAAAGTGTACGAATACTTTCAAGACAGGGACAGCGTGTCTCAGATCATGGAGCCTTGTTACGGTGGTGAGCTTCAAGATCGGATCAACGAGGTTTTCCAGAAGGGACAGCCGCGTTATTCAGAGGAGTTTATATGCGACGTGATGAAGCAAACATTGCGGGCATTGGCCTTCATGCATAGCCATCACTTCATGCACAAAGACCTCAAGCCACAGAACATCATGCTCGTAAGTAAGGATTCAGCTTCCATCAAAGTTATTGATTTCGGCTTGGCTGAGCTGTTCGAGCCTGATCAGAAGCACTCAGATGCTTTTGGTGGCACGCTTCTGTACATGGCTCCGGAAGTATTTAAGCTAAAGCTGGAGTTCAAGTCAGACATTTGGAGTGCCGGCGTCATCCACTCAGCCTTGTGAGGGTTCATTTGCTGGCTTTTAAGGGTAACGATCAAAGCCCGGGTAGAATCCCATGGAATCCCACTGAGGTCATCCATTACAATCTGATGACAGGGGACTATCCATTCATGGCACCTTGGCCATTGCCCAAGGGCAAGACCATGGAGTGGTGGCAGAACGAGCTAAGCCGGTCCATTTGCGAAGACAACTTCAGGGACAACAAGAAGTTAAGGGAGTGGACCTCGGAGAGCAGCGACCTTTTGCGCCGGATGTTAGAGAAGAGCGCAGCTTGCTTGCACCTAATGATGCGACGACACTCCCCAAATCCCTTGAAGTCAGTACACTGAAGACTGGCATAGCTGAGGTAAGCAGGAGACCTGATGCAGCTCAGTGCTTGGAGCATGCTTGGTTCAAGAAGTTCGAGGCAGCTCCACCACCCTTGTCCGTGGGCATCACCCAGTGCTTAGAGGCTTATGCAGGACAGCCTGAATTGAAAAAGGCGGTTTTCCTCCTCATCGCGCATATGTGCACAGCGCCAGCATTGAGCGAGCTTCGCGCAATTTTCACTCATTTCGACACTCTGAATCAAGGGTCCCTGGTGACCTCTGACTTCCGGGATGTGCTGTACAAGTCCGGGATGACTTCCTTGCAGGTGGAGCGCATTGTGCACGCGTTGGACCAGGAGCATCCTAATTGTGGGTTTAAACGAATGTGTCAGTGTAGATGAAGTTCAGCAGGCTTATCTTTGCTGAGTTTGCTTATGTGTGGTTGGCTTGGGACCCCAAGGATCGCAGCGGCACAGTGACCTGGACGGAATTTATTGCCGGAGCTCTTTGCATCAGCGTTTGTGGAAACAAGCGCCTCGTGGAGGCTGCCTTTGCTATCTTTGACAAGGACATGTTCCAAAAACGTGGCTTCCAGTTTACATGCAAGACAAGGGATTTTTGTAGCACTGACTCAAGAAGCCATATCGAATCTGTAGAGATCCCTCTGAGGACAGCGACGGCAAGGTCAGTCAGGCTGACTTTGAAGACATGTTTGCCAAAGGCGACGTGGAGTCACTGTGGAAGAAGAATCTACCACAGGAGCTGCAGCTCATTGGCCAGGCTGGGGCAGATGGCAAGCTCATGAAGGAGCAGTTCGTGCAGTACATGGGCCGGAGGATGCAGGTAACTTCTGGCGATGCGTTGGCAGCTGTCCAATGAGCTGGCAGTCGAGCAAAATCCAGTTCGCCATTCGAAATCAGGGACCTTTAGGCAAGGGACCACATGGCACTTTGCATGGGACCCCACATGTTGCAGAGGCCTAATCGCGCAAGCCTGCAAATTGCAGCCCAGGCGAGCCAGCGCTGCGGGAGCGCATAGCAGTGCTGGAAGCTGAGTGTCGCGCCACCCGATCACTATAAGCGACATGAGCTTCGCCAGAAGAACTGAATCCACCAAGAGACAGGCACCAAATTACTGTAAAGCTTTGGCAGCCTGAGTGACCTGAGTGCGTGCAGCAATGACATCAGGTCAGGTGGCTGGCAAGTCACCAAGCAGCTTGGGCGAGGCTGCTTCTTTGTGTCACAGCAGTAAACGTCAAATGCAACCCAGGAATCCACCCAGAGTATCCCCACACGGTTATGATATTGGTAGTCAATATCGCAGAGTGCATAGTGCTGCATACTTCATACCGCGAGTGGGCCATGATGTGCCGTTACCATTGCTGACTCAAATGCTCCTTGATCGCAATCTCGCATGCTACATAGTGCCCTGGCCGCCAGGTCAGTATGGAACAGCTTACCTCGTGTCCTGGGACGAGGAGAAATGTGGAGAAGAGAGCCTGGCTCCAAGCGAGCGCTTGAGCTAAATGAATTGAATCCTGCAAGAGTATGAATTTCGGGCGTCGCGGGAACGCATCCAAATGTCGGCCTAACAAAAGAAGATGCAAGGCACAAAGACTAGTTACTATACAGAGGGCATGGCGGGCCATACCTCACGTTGGGGAAGGGTGGCCAGCTCAAAGCCAGTGCGCAGGCCAAACAGTTCAGCAGTGGCGCAGTGCGCCACAGGCAACCTGCAAGAGGGAAGGCATGTGCCCACAGAGGCAGTCGGTGAGAGCTCAACGTCAAGGACAGCACAGAAAGCAAAGAAGCTGGATCTTGAGTGGTGCAGGCAATGTGAGCAAAGGTGTGGAGGCCAGAACTGGGAAGTCCCACGAGTGCATGTGCACTTGGACAGCAACTGAGCGGGAGGGAGGGAGCCAACAAAAGGAGGAGCAGGAGGCATGGGAGAGACAAGGGAACAGCCGCTAGGCAAGAGGGTAGTCGCCACACAACACAAGATAGGAGAAGAGAGCCTACTTGGGAACACATCGTCAGAAAGCATGTATTGTGGGGTTGTTGCAACCGTCGAACGGTGCACAGTGTACACCGCTTGAGGCCGCGGCTGGAGAAGCAGGCATGGTAGCCACAAGAGCAGGTACAGGAGAACAGACGAAAGCAACCACGAGCACAGAGGAAAGAGCGGCGTGACGTGCAGGCGAGTGCTGGAACCCGTTTGCGTCGCATCAACCAATGCCCTTGGGCATGACATGTGTGCTATAGTCTGAGCTCCTCAGGGGGTTATATGGGGGACTTTACGTTGGAGTATGTAAGGTTTAATAAGGGGCATACCGGCATACTAGTATTTTAGACAACGGTTCATGCTGGCGCCCGCAATCATGAAACCGCCTGCTACGGCATCCTCCAAGAGGAGCGGCCTGAACAGCATCAGGCCGACAAAAGCCAGCCGCTAGACATCCATTGCAGTTCTTGTTAGGAATCGCCCCGATGCAAAAGCAACACACGATCTCACATCCTGCACTGAGGGAAGGGTCAATACAAAGATGGAGATCAGGCATGAACATGCATGCTGCTGCTTGTCTTGCTAAATTGGCTGCGTCGAGAGACGCTGCCTTTCGCTGGAACAGGCTGTGGCCAAAGTTGTGGGATTGGAGTTCCTTCCCGAGAAGGTTCCTGAACGATGGTATGCTTCACACATGCATCGAAAATCCAACGTCCCAGCCAGGAGCACAACTTTGCGTTCCAGGAGGTGGAGCTGATGAGGGCGCTGCCAGAAGCTTATGCCAAAAGCAGGCTGTGCTCATAACCACTTCGCATGGAGCTTTTGTCATGTGCATACGTACATGTGAAGTAGCTGTTGCGGACCCGAGAATTGTCAATGGATGGCAAGCAGTCTGCTGCGCAAAGCAGGAAAATGCAGTATGCGTTTCTTAACAGCAAAGCCACCGGAATAGCAGCAAAGGCGGCACCCTCACATTGTGGCACTTCGAGACCACTTTCTGACAGAGGCGGTGCCAGCATATTGCCTCCAATTTAGAGTGGAGGCGGCTGGAAGTGTGACAGCGTCCATCACAGGCCAGCTTGGAGCTCGTGATAGCTGGTGCCCAAGTACTGCAAGAAGTTAGCATGGTAGCCTCATCCACAAGCACCTGCGACGCTGCACTGGTTCTCCAAGACATTTGTAGCTTGCCCAGCCGTGAGGTCATGGAATTCTGCGACAGTGGTGACCTCCGAGGGGAGGTCAAGAGGCGGACCCAGGCCACGCCGGGCTGCTTTCTGTGAGACTTGTGGCGGGCTAATTCCCCCATGGTTGCATGGCTGCTTGTGAGAGACCATTTTCCCTGAATGCTATACGAGGCGTTGCGTGAGAGAAAAATCCAGTTGGCCATGACTGCATTCTGTCAAGTTGTTGCATGAAGTGATTGGCTTGCAGCTTCAGCAGGCAAAGCCGCCCGATCTACTTCCAGAGGCTACAATCATGACCTGGTTCGTGCAGATGACACTAGCACTCAACTACATGTGGTGCTGGCATGTTTGGGTTGACCGCATCTATGTCATGATGCCCATGACTGTGCACTGCGGAGGGGATTTCACCGGGACTCTTGCTACACATGAGCACTCTTGCTTACCACTTCCCAGTGTGGGCCTCTTCTTTGGGCCTTTCTTCATAGCTCAGTCGTTTTGTAAAAAGGTGACAGTCGTGTAATTGTAGCACGTGGGTGGCAAGGGCAGATCGTATTTGCAGCTGGTTGGGCCAAAGACGCCGGTAACAAGCTGGACGTCTGGTAGCGAGCATGTACCAGCAAAGGCCGTGAACGATTGAATCAAGAGCCTAGGACCTAGATGAGCTTGTAGCTGCTAGTACCAAAACCTAGCTATTTCCAGGGGTAGTGTTGTCGGTAAGCCATCGAAGTGACCGATGTGAGCAATAAAGCACTAGCACTAGCATGGCCAACGTCATCGGTGCTGGCAGCTCTGGAAGCTTGCCAAGGACGGCAGTTTCGGAGCCTTCGCAGAACCTTAGCCCATCCACAAGTTGGAGATGGCTCCACAGTTTGTATAGCAACAGAGAGGGGCGGCCAGACATTTCCGTCCACAGCTGGGCAGTCCTCAGCGTACTTCAGCCTGGTTCCACCACAGCTCGTGCCTGGAGAGCGGTGGTATCTTCCTTGCTATTGGTCGTCCTTCAAAGCGCTGCACTGCACCTGGTGCAATATGAAGTCTGCTTTCCAGCTTGCTCAACGCACAGCGCTTGCCCCGCGGGTACAACATGTACCTATCATGCGCTGTCCTCCGGGGTGCGCTGTGTTCCTTGCTATGTACCTCGCCGTATTTCTTTGAAAAAACCACAGAGGATGCTCATTTTTGAAGGACTGGATCTTGTTGAGGCCTCCATGCTTGTTTTGTGAACTGCATGAAAACCTTTTCGGTCTAATTATGCTCACACTTAGTGGGCCGGGGAGTGCAGGGAGGGGCTTTTGTAGCCCAAAGCAGTGCAAGAACTCCAAGACTCCAAGTCAGGGGTTCGCACGCGACCTCAATGAGATCCTTCAGCTGCTCGGTTTTGCCAGCGAACGAGATCTTGCATCATTTTGCAAGGCCATTTGGGGCATAGGGCTCAAAATTTACTGAATTAAAGACAGGTTTGCTAGCAGTCCCCTGGTCACAGTTCAGCCCCTGTGACATGTCTCATCATGGCCAGCAGGATAGCAATGTCAGCAAGGTGGACCTGGAGATACTCCCTTTCCTGTCAGAAAGCAGGCAGCGGTTCCTTTAAAGCTTCAGCACTTATGTCAAAGATGCATGTATGCAGTGGATCAACAGCAGCTCTGAGCATTTCGAATTGCAGCCCTGCAGGCCGAGAGCGCCAGAGACAGAGATGACATTCTTCAGACATGCATGCGATGTCCAAGCAAGGTGCTTGCAAAGCGACCAGCTGGAGTCCAGGTGCGACTACGTTGTTTACAACATGGCGGCCTGGAGATTAGGGGGCAAAGTTCTCCTGACCTTCGTGGCTTTGCTGGCATGGGTCCCGATCCTGAGAAGCATGCAGGCGGCAGCCACCGAAGAACACCTGCTGAGTGTTTTTTTCGACGAAGCAGCTTGGCCCGACTTTGCAGCCTCCGCACCCCTGGGCGTGTATGCAGCCGTCTTTCATCTCCGCCTTGCGTTAAGAGCGCGGCGGGAGGCCCTGGCATGGGCAGTTGTTACGGCAAATGTGGCGCTGGTAGCAAGCAAGACTCCAGCTGCGGTTAACTCCTTGCTGACTATGCTGGGGCTCTCCCTCTTCGCAGCGGCAGACCGCTTATGGGCACAACTCTTGCTGGGATCTGCTACATATGCCGAGCTCCGAAACAAGGTTGATTTGCACGATGTGCCGCAACCAAAGCTTTCGGATGTATACCGCGCCTTGGTGAGTGTTTGCCTCATGCTGCTCTTGTCTTTCCACTTCGAGGAAGCCATGCACCTGTCATCACCAGTCCTTGAGGCTTGGGGAAGCGGACGTGGGTTCGAGACACGGTGCACTTGAGCAGTTTTCCTCAGGGCGTATGACCATAGTGCAGTGTATCTAAAGGATCTAATCTGCCGAGCTTTGTTAGTCAGTTCTCTGATGGACGTTCAACAAAGAAAGGACTGTGATATGGTCCAGGGCGTGTTGGAGTTTGTTGTGACCTCTGTGGCTGCAGCACTGATTCTGCTATTTGCTGTGGTGGGTGTTCTAGCGGTCTTGCGAAATGGAGACCAAAGCGAAACACCACTGCAGAGCCTCCTGTCTAGCACCGTTCTTTCATGGATCTCCCTGTTTTGGCTGCTTGGGATCAGCCGCTTTCTCGTCCACATGATATCAGGCGGAGGAATTCTGGATGCGTTGCCGTTTATTCTCTTCTTGTCCCCTGGCTTGGTGTACCCCTGGTGGATGGCTCTTCACTCTGCAAGACGTTCAGGACCGGGTTGCATTTCAGAGTCAAAACTTGGCAGTGGCCATTCGGGGAAAAAGTACAGGTATACAGCCTCATCACAAAGCAGGGTATCGAGGAGCTTGCAGAAGTTGACGTTTACAGATCCGCCTCTGGGGTCGAACTCTTCTTGGGGACCTGACCAGTTTGAAGGATGGGATGAGCCCCACAGAAGCAGATAGGAATGAAGTCAGTGGGGCAGGGATGCAAAGTCTGGGGTGGCCACCGCAAGAGCACTTCTTCCCGGCAAAGGGAATCATTTGCGTTTATCATGCCCCCCAACTTACCCAAGCAGCCCGGTTGTCAATTTTTTGGCTGCCTACGCTGATGCAGGACAGACGCTGGACGCCATTTGCTTTACAGCTTGCTTGAACGCCCTCAACCGCTCAAAGCGTTGTCTTTGCTTGCGCAGCGCTGCGGAATACCCCGCGCTGAGCTACCGCATGTAGAGCGAGCATGTTCGCACAAGAAAAGCTGGGTGTTGACACAATTCCATTGCATAGCAACGGCTTGCTCATGCAAGCAGGGTTCAATCTGAAATCCTGCCAGGCACCAGCGTCACATCCTTCACAGGGACCTTAAGAGTGGCAGCCCCAATCACCTGAGCTCGCCATTTGCTATCTCAAATCTTGCCCCCATGGTGAGGTTCCAACGTCTTCCTGACAACGGCGCCCTCCGGCAACGGCGAGTATGATGCTGGGGCCTTATCCAGTAAGTCCAACCCAATAACACAAGCGAAGCCGTCAATAAGAAAGATGCCTGAAGAAGAACAATCGAATCATGCAGACACAGCCAGCTGGATGTGAGAACATGTAGCCTTCCAAAAACTGTTAAAGTCTGCTCCATCCAGCCCTCAGGTCCGAATTGGAGATTTTGGCATCTCGCGAGTTCTCGAAGGCACTGTGGACGTTGCAGCAACAGCCGCTTGCCTTGGAATTGCTACACCGCTTTATAGGGTGTTCATCCACTTGTAGTTGAGGCATGTTACTCAACATGTTGAGAGACTTCTTTGTTCGGTCCCATCTCACTCAGGTGGTTGGAACGCCATATTACATGTCTCCAGAGGCGAAGTGAGCTGTATTCACAACGTATAGACGCCAGAAAAGGTGCCGCTTCAAGTTGAGCTCAAAAGGGAGGAAGGAAGAGGAAGGGTGCAGCTGCTGACAACATGCAGGTCTGCAAGGCTGAGCCCTATGGCTACAAGCTGTTGCCTCAAGATTAGCATCGCCTCACATATCTTCACATGTTCTGGGAAACATGCTTTCTCAGCAAGACACAACCGGGACCACTTTTAGCTGAAGTTGGAATTGTGTGCTTAGGAGCGACATATGGGCATTGGGCTGCGTCCTGTATGAGATGCGCTGTGCTTAGATGTGCATGCCCTCACAGGCGGCTTTTAGATCGAATCCATTTCCTTAGCCTGAGGTGCATGTTGAAGCATGCCTTCGAAAGCCAATCCTTGCAGTGCCCTCAGCATCAGAAGCTGACAAAAAATCAGCCCTGGATAGAGCAAGCGGAGATGAGCTGCAAGTTCATACCGCAGCATTTGGGAGCCCAAGCTCTCCCGCATAGAATTTAGAAGGCTTTAGAGAGTCCAGCATGTGCAGTTAGCACTTACTGCACAAGCACTTTGAAAGGGACCCCGTATGTATCATGCGCATAGCTAATTGCAGAGATGGGTGCCGCGCCATCGCGACTGACATTGGCAGGCTTCTTGATCTTTCAGCGAGGCTGCTGGCGCACATAACTATCGCACGAGTAATGATAGTGGAATCATATGAATGGTTAGCCTTTCTGATGTGGCTTGCTAGCTGTTGAGGCTGTGTTGAAAGAACAAGGATAACCCATAATAACCCTCACAATCTTCCAGGTGCTTGTAAGCAAGCTGGAAATCAGGTGCATATACATAAATATCGGGGTAAAGGGAATAAGTATAGAGAAAGTGGGAACTGCCGCATTAGCTAGAGTTTCGGGTTTAGGGTCATGCTGGTGCAGGCGCTTCCTCAGCCGTTGGGAATGCATCAGTCGCCTGCCGCACACCTTGCGGATCATATCGCCAGATGCAGCTAGCGGCTACGGGCACATACCATTTGCAGGAGCCCCAAGGCCAAAAGAATTGTTCAGCTCACGAAAAGGAAGTTCACCCACATGAATTCAAAAATGGCCTGCATACAGCGCATGCCGAAGGTGCCGGCTGCCTTTGTGGCGCAGTGCGTCTGAGGCGTGATGTCCAGACACAGTTGCGCATTTGAACACGTTTTGCCGCCCTCCAGATTGCAAGAGCCTCCGCTGCGGCTTATGCATTGTCACTGCAGCAGGTGCCGGCGGCAGGCCACCGATGCAAATTTCAGACAATGCATGTGAGTTGGATATCTAGCCAGGCATGTCTTGCGGCCCTTTGCGCAAATGACAAAGTAGACTGTTACAGGAGTCTTTGTGACCACTGCCTTTCCTTCCAAGCTTTCTTTGCCGCTGTCATTTCCAGGGCGGTGGGGCCTTTATGACCTGGGCAGCATATCCTGATTCGGCTGTCGAAGTGCTTCAAGGCAAGCAGGCTGCACAAAGTACTAGCATGAGCTTGTTGAGTCCCATATCATGACAACCTGACGCCTGAATCTGACTCGCAACTGCGCAAGAAGCAGCGTAAATATCATCAAATGCCGTGTGACTTGCCACAACAGTGCCAAGGTTTGCGATTGATGCGCAAGCTGCGCACTTAGCCAGGAAGGTCAATACTTCACGGCAGACAAGCAAATTCAAATCGCATAATTGGAGGATCCCAGTTACATGCTGTCGGAATGTCCTGCAAGGTTCAACAGCTCACACTTTGCCAACCGCACGCTGCTGGGACTTGATCTGTTGCATCCAAGTAATTGTTGCAACGTCAAAGATCAAAGCTGGCCTCTAGCGCACAAGCATCGCAAGATTTGCAGTCTTGCTTGAATCCGCTTGAGGTTTTGCCCCAAGTGCGGCCGCTTGTCAGCAAAGTAATCAGACGTGCACCTTCGAGAAGTGGTCTAGCATATCAAGAAACCATCCAAGACATAGGTTCCACAATCGCCCTGAATTACCACGATCAGCTTGGCACAACGTGGCTTGCTGCTGGCATCCTGGATGAAGATGTTGGATGTTGTCCGGACAGCCATATCATGCTCAACTACAAGGAGCCTGGCTTGTTCCCTCACACCTGCAATGTATTTTTTCTGGTGCATTGCTTGACATTGCTGAACCCAGTGTCGTCCTGCATCGTTTCCCGGAAGGTGGTTGACAAAGCGCGCCTTTTGCCTACCACTTGACAGTCTTTGTGCGGTGACCGTTGGAGGACGCTACAGACAGAGGCAAGAAACTTCCATTGAAACCTGGCCTTTGGTATCTCTGGCTGTTCCAGTGGTTGATGCGAATGGCTGGCAGCCTTATGATGGCCAAGCTGCTTCTTCGGATTCTGGTCCTGATGTTGTCTGACGGGCCTGGCGTTCGCCCGTGACCGGCTCTTCTCACCTTCCCGCAGAGGACGTCATGAAGATAAGCATCGTGCCGGGCAAGTCCGAAAAAAAAGCGGGCAAGAAAAGCGATTGCACATTGCAAGGGAGATGTTTGCATCACTCACACTGTCCACGGGGAGAGTTGCAACGCAGAAAGATTGTAGGCTGGGCCTGGTATACAAGATCGTCAGCGAGACGTGTGGCGCTTAGTCTGAAGAGTCCTGAAAGTCTGGACTTTGGGTGCTTTGCCTAAGGTATGAGCCCATCCCTCCTCAGTACAGCGCTGACTTGCGCACCCTACTGGCCAGGGGCTTTGTATCGTATGTGCAAGAGGGCACAGCAAAATAACAACATGAAATGAGGCAATGCAGCAGGGAAACATTGCAACCAGCACGCTCACACTTGTCGAGGAGTTTGTCAAACTTCAAGTTTCAAACTTGAAGTACCGTATGCGCCCCTACAGAACAACAATCTCCAAAACAATAATTCTGAAAACTGACGTCATCATTTGAAGACACTTCCTTGTTTGGCTCTCAGGATGACATACTTGAGAAGTCTTCCTCCAAAAGGCCAAGTGGCCAGGAACTGATTTCGCGCGTCGCGAGCTCAAACATCTGAGAGCAATGTTTGAGCGAGAATCTCTTCCTGTCCCTGCAATCAAGTCTTGCGTGAATGGGGCAATGGCATTCTCCAACATCGTATCGTTACGAGAGGGGGCTTAGTCTTGAGCAGAAGTCTTTCTGTACTGTGCAGCAACGAAGAAACCAAAAGGCTTATGTTCGGCGCTTCGACAACTCTGGTCAAGCCGAGCAAGATGCGAAAGAAGCTCGTTCAGGCAAGAGCTCCCGAGCAGAATCATTTCACACCTAGTACTTGAAATTTGGAGCATATGGAAAATAAGACGGCAGCTTGCGATACGGCTGAGTGACATTCTCCCAGAACATCGGCATAACAGTTCACATAGCAGGCAGCATTTCCTCTGCATCACTGCATGTGTGTTCACTGCTTTCAGGGAAAGGCTCCAAGGAGACGCCAGCGTGCGGATCTTTGTTCGCCCGAGAGAGCTTCATTCACCAGTTTCCAGCTGGTAAGTCACAGAAGATAAGCAAGGAGAAGTTCAACGGGACGCCTACACTGATAAGGTGGAGTGGCATTTTGACAGCTTAGGCCAAAAGCAGTTCCAAAAGCACCGCCCAAGTCGAACATGGAGAATTTAAAAAGAGTTGGCGGCTTAGATTTTTGTTTGTGATCTCGCACTACAGTTGCAAGAATAAAGGAAGTCCTCCCTGCTAGACTCACGCGTCTGCTACATCTTAAATAGGTGTTTTCTTTTGACTGCCCGTGGAACTGATGACAAGCTCTCCAGTTCTGAAAACTTCCATGTACGTGAGGTTGAGCCGGAACCTCCTCAACCCACGATCATAGAGGCCTGGCACTTAGAGGTCACACTTCAGTATTTCCAACGCTGGCTTGCTGCAGGCTGGTAATCGGCAGTTGTAACCACGGCGGGGTTGTCAATGGATGATCCTCTTATCTCTTATGCGTCCCTTTCATGACCATGAGCTTGACAAACCCTCATTCATTTGGTGACAAGTATTCGTGATTCCGGCTTTTTTCGAATCCATGAAATCCTAGGACCAGCCACTCCGTCGAGAATGGCACGTGTGACACTCGGTTGGGTGTCCTATGCATGTAGTTGCGCTGGTGGGTGCCCGGACTCGAAGCGACGAGAGAGAGAGAGACACTTGGTTCCATTTCTCTGCCGTGGAAGCTTGCTAGAGAAAACGCCAACTGAATTGCTACATCCAAATGATGTTCTTCTTGAAAGCAAGGGTGTGCTGTCTTCAAAGTCTCGCACCGTGGCCCGTGCTGCCTGAGTAAGACTTATGGGGACGGCATGCTGCGATTGCAAGTGCGCATTGTGTTTCTGCTTCAAACATGGCTTTGATCCTTTGGTCATGTGGATATGACTGCTGTCAATCAGGCCCCACCATTTGTCTCGACACCAGCAGGGACCCTAGGAATGATGCAGCTGGCCATTCAGACTGAATAGCTTTCAACCTGTCCTGTATTTGCGCCAGTGCTAGAATGGGTCTTGTTTACATTTGCATCGAGCAGAAAAGTTTCTGAATGCAAAGGATTCAACCACATCATTATCATCATCCTAGTCTCTGCATTCCAACCGAGGCACCGCAGCATGCACTCGCTGAGGGCGAGCTCAGGGTGCTACTCCTAGCATTTTGCTCCGAGAGTTCAAAGCAAGCGTGGCATGTTTTTTGGATTTCTGGTTTTTAGGGATTTAGAGTTCGGGGCTTGGTTTTCCGGATGGGGCGTTGCGGGTATCTCAAAGATGAGTCATCATGCCAAATCAAGAGGTTCTTCAGGTGATGGGGGCCTGACTCAGCTTGAGTTGAAAGACGGGTACTGCATAAACATTCCGCAGACATGACAAAAACATCAATGGAAGCTATCATGGCATTTTCAATTTTTGCCGTGCTAGAATGCCAGTCTGGTCGCAGACGTTGTCTCAGCAATACGGGCAGCTGAGGTCCGAGTGCTGCTTAGCAGAGTGCGGCGTGCAAGGGACCCAGGTTGAGCCATAAATGCAGCAGCTTAAAGCCTTGCAAATTGTTGCAACCTGCTCAGACATGGATACACATGCCTGCTGATGTGTCTAAGGGCCTCTCAGCGCGTCGACAGAACTGGCTCCAGGCAGGGTGCACGCAAATGCACCGTCAAGCGTTCAACGTCTTCTGAAGCCTTCGGTTGCCGTCCGCGCACAAGAAGGTTTAGGACACTGCTGCGGTATGACACAACATCAGCTTGACTTTGCAGCTTGCAGGACTCTATCCGTAGCAGGGCACATGATGAACATGCAATGGTGACGGTCAAGGTTTTTGCCAGCTTCGACCGAAAGGGCGATGGGCAGCTGAAGGAAGCCGAGTTGGGCTCCAAGATTTTTCAGTCCGTTGATAACTTCATAATCCTTGGACAGACGGGTATGAGTTCGAGGCCGCTTACTGTTTACAGTCCTGTTGCTTGCCGTTTCTGCTAGGTTTGAGAGGGCCGTGACGTCCATGGCTCTAGGCCTCAGCGA